GTGTGTGTGTGTGTGTGTGTGTGTGTGTGTGTGTGTGTGTGTGTGTGTGCGTTTGCGCGTGTGCGTGTGCGTGTGTGTGAAATAACACAGGAAACGCTTCTGATATGATGCTTTGTGTGCATGCTGTATTTGTCTAATATTGGGTGTACATTCGAGTAATTTCTGTAGCGTTATTTTATGTACATGATAATAATTGACTTTTAACTGTCTGTATGACCGAACGGTTAACCTATTGGTCTGCCACGTGGAGGTCCCGGGTTGGATTCCCGGGCTGGGAGAAATATTTGTACGGCCTACATTTATTTCTCTCGTATCCACGGCATCCGCAATACAGGGTTTTCCTACTGCGGGGCAATGAACACTCATTGCGTTATACAAAAAATAGCGTATTTTGTACGCGTACGCAGTAAAAAAATTAAAATTTTGCGGAATTTTTTGATTAATTTAGCGGGGTAAATTTAGTCAACCATGTTTCGGTTTGCATACTACCGGTACCTTCTTTTTCGCTCAATTAATAAAAACAAGTTGAATTAGTATTTTTTCTAGGTCGAAAACCCGAATTTTCGTCTGGGCCAAATATGTCGTATACGTATACGTCTATTACTCCTTAGTGATTTTCCATCAAAAATTTAAAGGTTGATAGTTACCTCCTGATTTTTTCCGCAAGGAATGGTGTCCATCTTATGAACGTCGTTGGGGCAGAACTCTGAGTTTCCCGTGCAGAACTCAGGCAGATCGCACTCTTTGTGTGCCGCGCGACATTGTGTACCCGCTGATTTAGGGCGACACGTCTGAAATATTAGTAATAGTACATTGTTAAAAGGGCGGTAAATAAGAAATTATCAACGAGAGTTTGTTGGATGCCCGCAGGCGAAGGCCGAGGGGTTTGATGACACGAGGTTTTGTCATTTTTACCGCCCGTGCTACATACAATGTTTTTCAACACATTTGCGAAGAAATAGGTACAACGATAATTTATTTCTTGTATGAATAAATATCGCTTCGTAACACAACATTTACGGATTTTGCAAATGGCGGGTTTTTTGTTTTTTTTTAAATAGAATGCCAGCTATTCTTCCTTATATAATACAAATGGAACTAAAATGTTTTCAAAGGCACAGAGATACATAACACCAGAAATAAAATAAATAATTTCCAATTTCTAAAAATACCGCAGAATTTTAAATCACAGAATAAAATTAAAATATAGTTCAATTGCAAATGTTTTATATGCTTCAAGTTTATCCGATATATATGTTCAGATTTTTCTTAATCTTGACGTAAACAATCGAATCGCACTAATGTAATGAAAACGCCCGTGTCAACGCCCTAAACTATGCAGTTTAGGATATTACTGTCGATTTTGTCTGCATGTCCTGACACTGTTTCTAGCAAATGTGATAAAAATCTTATCTTCACTTCTCATGCTCTTAAAGTTCGTATTTATGCTGGGTGTAGGCTGCATAAAATAGGATTTTATGCTCTAGTGCATAAAATAAAAAAAATGTAATTATACATTCAATTTTAGCTCTACACTGCCGCCGGCGTCGTCTGAGCAAAAAAAGCAGGAGTAGTGCTTCTTCCTCAAAATCCATATTGCTATTGATTTTAATGAAACTGAAATTGTAACTAGTTGAGCAGTTGATAGCAACTGCTGCAGTTGGTGTCAACTACTCCAGCAGTTGTCAATGGCAGCCTCAAGCTGTTGACTATAACTGCAACAGTGGTCCGTGTATGTTGATCATTGGCTAACTCCTAGAGCAGGCCGTGTATGGCCACCCTAAGACAAAGAAGAGTAAAGACAAATTTCTAAGTAATTCTAATGACTCGAAACCCAGGTGACCCTGTAGGAAGCGTGTACATACATATATATACAATATACATGTATCGGTAATAAACGTGATTCTTTTTATATTCGTAAGGTCTTAAAAGAGTTGAAAAGCGCCTGTAATTTCACCAACACCCTTACCCTTCAGAATCGCAACGTTCCTCACATTACTGCTTGGCGGCAGAAATAGGTAAACTGGCAGTACTTCCCTGGACGAACTCTTTCACAAGGAGCTCTACTGCTACTAAAATGCATGTCTGTAATGTACAGATTTCTCACCTCAAGGTTGCAACACGAGCCCGAAGCACAAGTAGCATTTCGTCTTAGCGTGCAAGTGTCTGCGTCGCAACACCCTTGGCACGCGTTCCATTGTTTCTTGTCCGCCGTCATCCCGCAGTCACACTCTTCGCCTTCTTCCACGAAGCCGTTGCCGCAGGTCGGTGAATCAAATAGACGCTTTGGCTTGTTTCTACAGAAAATTATGGAAAATTGGTTCTTATCGATATACCTCCAACGAACACTACGTCAACTTTATGTTTTGGTCATTTTCTGTTATTTTTGTAAACTGCCATATCTATTTACTAATATTATCTTAGACTATTATTTTTTTCCATCATCTAACAATATTGTGCTCCCCCTACTTTATGAAAAAAAGAAAAAATAAAGAAACAAAACACAAAATTCGAAAAACAAGTAACATTCTTAATAATTTTGTGAAAAAAAAAAAAATAAACAAAAAAGAAAAGAACAGGTCCAAACATTAAGTTGGCGTAATGTTCATTGGAGGTATCGTCCAGTCTGGCAGTCCCAGGAGTTAACGTTAACTTAAAAAAAATAACATTGTCTTCGGACATGTCGAGATAACCTTACCTATTTCTGCCGCCAAACAGTAATGTCAGCATTACTATGTTCCAGTTTTGAAGGGTACGGATGCTGTTGAAATTACAGGCACATAGAACTTGTCACATTAGGCCTGAGTATGACGGGCGCAGTGACAGTGTCCCTCAGATCTTTGCGATTAAAAGCCCAGAGTGGCACTGGAACTGTTATGGACAGGCGTGTGCGATAACTCAGTTGCAGCAGAGCTCCTTTTTAGTAGCAGCTCAGTTTAAGTAGCAGTAGAGCTCCTTGTGAAAGAGTTCGTCCAGGGAAGTACTGCCACCTTACCTATTTCTGCCGCCAAACAGTAATGTCAGCATTACTGTGTTCTAGTTTTGAAGGGAAAGGGTGCTGGTGAAATTACAGGCACATGGGACTTGTCAACTGTTATGGACAGGCGTGTTGATTACCATCAGGCGCACGACTTGTTCGTCCAGCTTCTCGACCGGCAAAGACTACAACCGTTATTCAGAACACATGTATCGAATGAAAGTTACCGAACGTATAATTGTTAAAAAGAAGTTTGGATTTTGTACAATTTCCTTTAAAGTCTTAAAAATGTATATAAAAGGATTTTAATTTTTCTTATAATCTATTTCACCGACTAACTTCGTAAACGCTGTTGGATAACGATATCGTATCCGAACTTTAACTCGGAATGTTCTGAATAGCTCGGAAAGCGCCCTTCGATTCGAGAACGATATCCAATCGAACGATTCGGTTAAAATATCGAAGAGTTCTGAATCCGGGGTCTTGATCGAAATAATTTTTCGCAGTGTTCGATCTTTGTATTAATAATAATTAACAGTAGTAGTATTATAATTTACAATATATAGTATTGTATGTGTATCAATTTACTGTTTTTTTTTTTTAATTTTCAATGTATGTAAAAATATATAATCAATGTAAATTATTTTTAAACCATCGTGTAATTATGTCAGCGTTGTTGTTGTCGTGAAATTGAATACATATCTGTTCGCGCTTCTATTCTTGCGGAGGTTCCTTAGAGATGATGTGAACTACGTGAATTGTGCCTTATATATTATAATTTCGAAAAAAATACTAAAATAGTGCCACAATTTTGCGAGCGTTATAGCAAACGTAAACGTATAAATTTAAAAACGGATAAAGTTCAAAAAAACGGCAATTAAATGTTGCCTCAGTGAAAAAAATATTTTGAAACGCCATCTGGTGAGATGCTTGAACAATATCATACATATTATATATTATATATATAGACATAAGACTAATTCAAATACACATGATGTTGATGTGCCTGATATAATAATAAATAAATAAATTATATTTTAAGTAACCTTAATAAATATCTTACCGTAAACAATAATCCATTCCCCGCTCAAAAGCGAGCGCCAACGACTTCTTGCTACACAAAGACCAGGTAATCGGAGCCACAGAATTCATCGAAGGGCTCATTATGCACTGTTCATCGGGACAATCACAATCCTCTCCAACATCGTGTTGCATGCCGAAGTTGTGGCCTATAGAGTGTGCGATAGTAGTCGCGATTAAACCAATAACAGACGAATAATTTGTCGCTACTCCGCCGGAAAACTCGTATGTGCATATTGGACCTTTTAACGCTTGACCCACAACGCCATCCGTGAATTTTTGCTGGCTGTAATAAAGACAAACAATATTATTATTGTTTTTTTAACGCACACACTCAATGACCCCGCACTAGGGAAACCCTGTATCGCGGGTTTACACATATAGATAACCACAAATTATCACCCAAACTCACGAGAGAAATAAATGTAGGCTATAAAAGTATTTCTCCCAACTCTCTCTCGGGAATCAAACCCGGGACAGTCCAGCATATGATGTCTAATATTTACTTATTTATATTATTTACTAGGGCAAGTAGGTATAGTTTCTTGAAAGTAATTTCAATTTGTCACCATAATAAAGTGTTCGAACGTGATATGATTCATTTTTCCAGTGCTTGAGGCACAAAAAACAGACAATAAAAAGACAGACAGTTGCAGGCACAAAGTGCTTAATGTTTTTGGTTATGTACCCGATGCTGTTCTTGCGATCTTTTACCTTTAATTCGTAGATATACTAAATAAACCATCTATCTTTTCTTAAACATTTCATCATCATCATCATCATCAACATTGTTGTGAACCTTCTTCGACGTGTAAGTTTTTATCACGATGTTTTCCTTCACCGAAAAGGTCATGATAAATTTCAAGTTAAATTTCGCACATAAACATCACTTCATATTTAAGTATAGAATAATCTCAGTACAGAGTACTAAAAAATAGACCTCAAAAGTACGTGATATTTCATACAATTACCAAGTTTTATCGAAATCGGTTACCGGAAAGTGGGCAAACCCGGATTCATCCCCATGTTCTCCACTATATGGGACTTGACACAGGAGATAATAAAACTTGGTTCTCACTACTCAAAGTATTGAGAGAGAAAAACGCCATGAATTGGAGAATAGCAAAATCAACTATTAAAATAATTACTCCTTATAATAAAATTTAGGCGTAAAAATTATCAAATAAAAATTAATAATGCTGCATAAAAATTTAAAAAGATAAACCATTTCAAATGATATTATTTTTCTGGAGCGTTCGATCCGAACAATCGAAATAACATAGGAATTCGACATAAGTAATTTTATTTGTTTTTATTTAATCAAAATTGTACTCACGTGACCAAATGTGCATTGTCATTGGGTACCTCGTGCAGAAGTTTTATTTTGCGATAATTAAGAAAGTTTGTGAGCGTTAAGTCGACGTTGTTCTCCAATGAGATCTCGTCGCGCTCTGTCCATACCACTACGCCGACAAGCGCTATAAAAATGTTTAGGGGCGCGTATAGCTGGGGACAAAGTTATGTTACTAGTACTACTTTTTTAGCAGCAGTAGAGCTCTTTGTGAAAGAATTCGTCAAGGAAGTACTGCCACCTTACCTATTTCTGCCGCCAAGCAGTAATGTTAGCATTACTGCGGTCCGGTTTGGAAGGGTAAGGGTGGTTTTATAACGAAACTTAAGTCGGAAATTTACAACGTTCGGATGAGGCGCGCGCGCCTGTACTACTTGGCTATGGGGCGCGCATCGCTTAAAGCAATATTGTGTGAAGTGCAATTATGAAACAAGAAGCAAATCCTGTTTGGCGCTATTTCGTTGATTTCTTACACTTCCGCTGCCGTTTCTGTTTCCGCTAAGATTTACTTTTAACATCTGCACCTGTTCGGTTTCCAACATGACACATGATGTAGCAAGAATGAATTGAGGATGATCTCTATGTGGTATAATTTTACCTGAATAAACTAAAAAGGTAGCATATCTTGTTATTTGAAATGAATATTTTTACAAACTTGGTGGCTGGAAAAAGGACAATCATCAACTTTACTTGTGTACTGTCCATTGTTGGCTACAAGTTTAACCCTAAAGAAAGTTCCGTTCATAGATCACGTGCATTTTGACGCGTGTTAGGGATGCCCCGTCAAAGAGTTTAGTGAAACTTCTCAAAAACTATGTTTTCGTTGATATATCATACATAATTTACAAGTGATTTAATGAAGCAATATGAAACCCCTGTATACTCAAGGCAAGTGTACTCCAAAGTAGGCCATCACTGCTTACAAATTATTATAAGATGTTTATTAGTATTTAAATTTATATAGAATTGATATTCTATTATTTTTACGTGAAACTACTCCACTAGTTTGTTATAATTACTAATACAAAGATCGAACACTCAGAAAAAATTCCTTCGATCCGGCCGGATTCGCACCGACGTCTTGAAACCGTGACAGACGCTATTCCAACAAAGCCACGGTACGAACCAGCGGACCTCACGAATTTTTCTATGTGCTAGTTGTCGTATCTTTGTATTTGGTTTTTCAACGACTTTTTAACCGTAGCGCTATCTATGAGAAATCTATGAAATATATTTATTATTATTATTTATGTGTACAGGGTTATTTCTAAAATATTAACATCCTCGCAGGACTTATCATAAACAACAATTTTTGTTCCATGATTTTTACAATAAATAATTAATTTACCAAAAATAAACTTTTAATTTTTGTAACTGTATTTCGTATTAATATTAATATAGTAAGTTGGAACGTGCAAGCGTCCTCCTCGACGATAGCCACCCCCGCTCCTGCGTTTTGCATAGTACTGGAATTTACGCTAGCGTTTTCTTTTGTTACCGCACTGAGATATCACAGTTTAGAGTAAAAGAAGGATGGCGAAAGCTGCCCCAATAAAGATGAAGAGCTGTTCATGGATTTTGCTAGTATAATTTTGCGTTTTAATTTATGCCTAATTATAAATATAGTTTTGTATATTTTTAGAAGTCGGTAATAAAAAAAATTGAAACACTATATTTTAGAATACATGCAAGAACAAAACGCAAATGATTCAGTTCGATCATAGACTAGGTAACGTTCTTGTACGTACGTTTCATTTTAAGCATGATTGAATATTTACCTACCTGAAGTATTGGTTTATTTTATAGTACACACATAAAACATTAAAACTATTAATGAAATAATCAATTAAACAGTAATAACATTAAGCAAAATAAACACAATGTGACAAAAATATTTGGACAATGTTTAAATGAGAGATAATGAAAGTTGCAAAGGAACGAGACCTCTGGTCAATGTCAATGTCATATTGATATTAGAACAGTGTGACCATTTGTGGCAGATTTCTGCCATTTGGATAGATTTAATTTTTATTTATTTTCATTGCTGCAGAACATGATAAGTTGTATTAAATGTGGCAGAGTTTGGCAGAATTGGGAATATTCGGGAAGTTCTTTATTATTTTTGGGAACAAACTGAAAACTTGTTGTTTTCCGCTACTATGAACAAACATCTGAAGCGAAATACAGGAAAATGTTATAAACATAACCTACATCAACTTTATAACACCAGCTTCTACAGGCTGTACTCAATTAGATTTTTTTGATGCTTTAATAATGAATCACAAGTATTGATAGGTCTCCTTAATGCACGTCGTTAAAAAACACTGGGTCATAAAATACACGGGTTGTCGCCATCCTTCTTTGACAAATTATTAAAAGTTATGGAACAAAAGTGAATGATATCAGTACAGTAATATAGTTGTGCAAGATTGTTAGTATTTTACAGGAAACCATAAGTTATTTGACATACAGAATTGATAATATTAGCCACGTCTTTCATCTGCCTGTGAATAAGTTGCAGGCTCCCAATGGTCTGGTACCCTCTATGATCAACCACCAACACCAGCTCTACATATCGCGAGTTCTCGTTTGCGTTGTACGCGTCCAGGACGTTCGATTCTTTTGATGTGGCTCTTTTGTACTGAAAATAAGAACGATAATTCAAATTCAATCTCTAAATTCACTCATAAATATTTTTATTTACAGTTATTGATAAACTGATTATAAACAAAATTGGATATGTGTGATGCCAATAGTTTCCTTTGAACAATTGAAGCATAGTATGTACAGTAAGATAAGTAGTGTAACTCCTGCCTGTTCTGCGTGTCATGCCTACACCTCGCTTAGAGCGTAGGGCAGTGATGCAATAGCCCTCTACTTCTGCTTTCGCAACTGCGTAAGTTCCGCACGCTTTTCCACATCTGTTTCCGTTTCTGCTTCCGTAACATTTATAACGGAACTTTAATTAGAAGATTACAACGTTTGCAACGGATCAGGCGCTAGTGCGGAATACATGGCGGTGGAGCGCGTTTTTTAGTAATTTTATGTTATAATAATTGCACTTAAATTATGTAACAAAAAAGAAAAATCGGGGAATATTTGTCGAGTTCCTTATTGTATTTACACGTCCGCTTCCGTTTTCCTTTAAGATTTACTTTTGACATCTGTTTCCGTTTCTGTTTCCTTATAACACTACCGTTGCATCACTAACGTAGGCTTGTAATATGAATATTTTAGTTGTACCCAAATGTTATAATCATTTTTGTAAAAATGAAATTGAGAAAAATTTCTCGTGTTACATTAAAATAACCTTTGTTAAATGCAGTACTAATGTATTGATATTTTAACGCGGACTGGTATCTCAATTACAGGAGTATGATTATGAAATAAAAGTTAAATGCTGAACAATTCTAAATTCGTGGCACTCTTGACGTCTTTTTTTAAACACCGAGTGAACGCTTCAATTCTACTGAATGGCGCGTGCGTCGGCCCGGGTTGTGCAACGCGAGTGCACCGCGAGAGTATGCAAATGTGTGTGTCTGTACAGGGCGGTCGTGCACACACACAAGCCGCGCTGCTACTACGTTTGATGGAGTTACACTACTAGTCTTATTATACTTTTAGTAGCAGTAGAACGTCTTGTGAAAGAGTTTGTCTAGGGCAGTAATGCCACCTTACCTATTCCTGCCGTCAAGCAGTAATGTCAGTATTACTGTGTTCCGGTTTTGAAGGGCAAGGGCACATGGGACTTGTCAAAATATGTCTCAGGGTAACGGGCGCAGTGGTGGTGCCCCTCGAGATCTTTGAAATTTAAAGCTCTGAGTGGCACTGTAACTGTTATGGAGAGGCGTGTAGCTTACAATCACGCCCACGACTTGTTCGTCCCGTTACTTGATGTTATAAAAAAAAACTATTGTTGAGGTGACAGTTCTCGTCTACCCTACTGGCCAAACGGTTACTACTTTTTACTTTTTACGGTTACTGCCGTGACTGCCACGCTGAGGTCCCAGGTTCGATTCCTGGGTTGGGAGAAATCTTTGTACGCATTTCAGCATCACTTGCTGGCACCCTATTACACACAATGGTTTCTTCAACACCACATATGATTTTTCAATTGGAATGCGCGTTGGGGTAGGAGCGAAATTTAATCCTTTTTCCAGGGCGTTAATTGCTGGTTCAGTCAGTACCTTGTTAGACAGGTTTATTACCGTTCGAGTTCCTTTCGAGTTATCATGGTACTTACTTACCGGTTGTTGTTTACGAATCAAAGTTGAAAACTTATTTTCGTGATTTAATGCACACAACTCAGCAGTACGCTGCGCTTGTAGAAACGTAACACGATCACATAACTCGAAATCATTTTTACTTAGCCGAACACTGCATTCCAGATGTAACAGTGCATGGAATCCGGTCCTTAGTGCGTGCAGTAATAAAAACAAAAACACCTCGAGTTCAGTTTCGCGTGTGGATACAGTAAGTGTGGTTTGTGTGAAAAAAGTGAGTGACAATGGTAACGCCACAACAAATCGCGATGAAGGTAGTCGTCGACAGCGCAAGAGGGTAGACAGATATGTCTGCCCATAAAGCTGTCATCTGCCGCCGTCCAGTCAACCCGTGACCATGGAGCGTGCAACCGTTCCGAAATATCGGGAAAATAAAAAGAAGTTATACCGTGGTAAGAAACCTGTTACTAGTGATAATCATTTATGTTGTGGGTAATATTGAAACATTTTAATAAAAAGTCAGTTGTCATCTAGACCGTCTTTCATTTACACAACATGGTGACAGCGGTGGTTGAATAAATTAAATTACTGCGTAATTCGTGATTATTTTGGTGCAAAAAAGTGTTTCGTAGTCGTGAAAAATTATATACTGTTAATTTATTATCATGGAACACGCGAGACCACCGTCGGAACTGAGTTTAGATGGCAGCCCCGTCAGCCGGGCTGACGCGTGGCGTAAATGGAAAACGCAGTTTGAATTGTTCCTTAAGGCATCGGGGGTGCACAAAGAGGAATCAGGGGTGGCCCACTAACAAATATGAAGTTTCGAGAGAATTAAGAAGTTATTGGTCAATGAAAGATGAATTATTTGCTGTCGATGGTGTAATATTCAAAAATAATTTAGTATTAATACCATATTCCATGCGACAGGAAATGCTTGGCATCATTCATGATGGGCACCTCGGTATAGACCGATGCAAGAGGCGCGCTCGGCAAGTGCTGTATTGGCCAGGTATTAATAAAGAAATTGAATTATATGTAAAACGTTGCCCAGCTTGCCAGGAATATTCAAGTGCTCCCACCAGGGAACCTTTAATGCCAATCCCTATACCAAATTTGCCATGGAGTCTACTTGGCACTGATATTTTTGAATATTCAAAAAAATACTATTTAATTATTGTAGATTATTATTCAGGATTTGTTGAGATTTCAAAATTAAATAGCATTACAAGTTTATCTGTTATACAGTCCTTAAAGGAAAATTTTGCTAGATACGGTATACCTGAAAAAATAATTAGCGACAATGGTACTCAATTTACTAGTAGAGATTTTAAAAGGTTTGCTTCAGAGTGGGGGTTTGAGCACGTCACGTCCTCGCCAAATTATGCACAAGCAAATGGCAAAAGTGAGCGTGCAGTTCAAACTATTAAAAATATTTTAAAGAAATCAATACAAAGCAATTCTGATCTTTATTTGAATTTATTAAGTTATCGCAATACACCTCGTGAGAACTTGAGTTCTCCTGCACAAATGTTGATGGGCCGTATGCTGCGCTGTAGGTTGCCGGTGCATCCAGGCCTTCTCAGACCGGCACCAGTGCCGGCCGATCAATATCAAAAGCTGGTTCATAAGCAACAAAGAACGAAGCTGTACTATGACCAACATTGTAAAGAATTGCCTAAATTAGAGAAGGGAGATAATGTTATAGTTATTGATAGAAATAGCAGAGTGAGAGGACAAGTTGTATCAGAAAGCACTACTCCGAGATCATATATTATTAGAAATAAACGGGGCATTTATCGTCGTAATAGAAGGCATTTAATAAAATGTGAACCAGAAATAGCACAATCGCAAAATGCTCAACAATATTCTGAAGTAGTACATGATGTCGATTTTGATGAAAATTATGCATCACTTGATGATGATCACTACTCTTCAGCAGGGTCGATAGATGATACGGTCTTAGAATCTCACTCTCCCATGATTACATTTAGAAAATAGGGATTATCATGTCATAAAACTTTTTTTTTCTCTCTCTCCTGTTTATTAGTTGCTAATTTTCTTTCTCTATGTATTGGGGAAGAGAAGTATATTATATGTAGGTATTAAAAATTACTTATATAACAAAGTTTAACTGTTGGTGTTGGGTTAGCTTTTAAGGTATTTAAGTATATGCATAAGGTACTATATTTTGTTAAGGGGAAGATGTTGTGGGTAATATTGAAACATTTTAATAAAAAGTCAGTTGTCATCTAGACCGTCTTTCATTTACACAACAATTTAGTAAATGTCGTTGTGTTTATTTTGTATGAATTCGTTCACACATGTCAGTGTCCGGGCCGGCGCCGGGACGGGCCCGCAGTTCATACAAACTAGCACGCCCCGTCCACGTGCCGGGCACGGCCCTGATGTGTGTGGATAGTCCTTTAAAATACCTACTGCTCGGCTTTATTCGGCAACAGCTGTATTCTATTTTCACACCGGGGTCCGGTCGAAAACGAGGTAGGGTAGCGCGCTCAACATGCACCGACTGATCTCATCATCATCCTATTTAAGAGCCAGGCTCTTGTCGGTGACTGATAATAGTAGTAATTTTACAATTCAAATCCAAACAAAATCCCCAAACGAGTTGTCGAGTTCAAATTCCCTGCATTTGGGGAATTCCCCATAAATTGGCAACACTGTAGTTAGTTCAGAAAGAATCGGGCGCGATCCGATAGTCGGATCCGACCATCAGACACGATATCGGACGTGTGTTCCCGCGCTAAGAAGTACTCAAATCTCCATATTCTTTAGCCACGGCGGTGTAATGAAAGCTATACTAATCTCTTTCACTCACCCGAGTAATCCTACTCTTATCCCTCTCATTATGTGCGATATAATTACTTAAAAGCAAAGGGTCGTAGTTAGTGTTATTGGTCACGCCTCCACTGTAGCCGCAATTGAAGTTATGTTTCAGGTCTCCATGATCGTATACGAAGTGATAGGATGTTAATTTGTTATCTGTAAGGGAAAAAACGAAATATAAAAAACGTGTTAACATAACATATGATGGTGTAACAATTTTACGTGAATCAGGTGGGAGAAAAGGAACATACTTTATTTTGATTCAAATGTTTTGTGCACTTATAACACTCTTATAAAACTTTATTGGAATTTTTAAGTACACTAAAGTTGACTTTGTTTATTTATCAGTTTCGGGTGAAGCAGATCCTATCATATAACACATTAGCACATTCTTTAGATAATATCCTTAGCCAACTATTAAACCACGGAAGAAATTTGTGGTCTGTGTATTAAACCATTTGATCTAACATAACAGTATTTCCCGCTTGCCTTAATGTTGCAACTTAAATATTCCCAATAAAAACACTAGTCACGTTTCGGGATTTGATGACTTGATACTACTCTATTGAGCGCAGTATTTTCCTCTATAAAATATTTTTGGTGATATTCCTACGTTTATATATCCATTTCAGAATAATAATAAAAAAATAGGTATTAAAATATTAACCTTGTGCAGGCTCGATATGCTTAATCTTCTTTCCGTCAAATATAACACCTCTGAGGCCATGGCAGGTCGACAGTGCCACCCAAGAGTTCTCCTTATCTCTCACCGTGCCTGAATACTGGCATATATCTAACTCCTGAAAAATGGGAAGCAGATATCAAATACTTGAAAAGAAACTTTATTACTATCTACGGCTGACGATATAACGAATGTTAAAAATTTACTCTTCATGCAAAAGCTTTCCACATGTCCAAATTGTTAATGTTTCCTAGTAAAAAGATATTTTAGTACATCATGGAGGGTTTTGAGGAAGGGTGAGAGGACCAATGTAAGTTGACTTCGTAGCATAAACAAAATATAATAAGAGACAGTAGAGCTCCATAAGAAAGAGTTTGTAGTAGCAAGGTAGAACTGCCACCTTACCTATTTTTGCCACCAAGCAGTAAAGTCAGCATTACTGTGTTCCGGTTTTGAAAGGTAAGGGTGTTGCTGAAATTACAGGACATAAGACTTGTCAACTTGTGTCTCAGGGTGACGGGCGCAGTGGCGATGCCCCTCAGACAAAGATCTGAGGGGCATCGCCACTGCGCCCGTCACCCTGAGACATAATGTCGCCTTACTTTCTCAAACTCGCGCTTAAAACACGATTTAAAACTCTGAGTAGCACTACAACTACACGTGTAACTTACCATCAGGCGCACGACTTGTTCACCCCATCACTTGATATTAATAAAAAAATCTGCTGTCAAAAATTCAGCCAAAATTTGTTAATGATACGAACCTCTCTACTAGGCTTCTTCTGCACAGTCTTCCCATTCTCCTGGTATTGGATAATATGGCCTTTAGTCACCAGGTCTTTGTTGAGTAGCAAGTCCAATATGTAGTCTTCACCGTCGATGTTAACTGACACTGTCACCTCCAGGTGATGGCCATCCTGTAACGCGTAAATATAGATACCTATTATGAAATGAAATTTTTCACGATTTCAATCGCGTTGATTTGATTTTTCAAATAAAACAAAGTTTCGGGTCCTTTACAGGTCCCATTGTCACGGTAGACTGAGGTGGCAAATGGTAAAAAGTCATCAATCAGTTATGTCTAATATTAATGCAAAGCACTCTTTTTTTTCATTATAGTTACAAAAGTTATTAATTAAATAACTTATTTTTAATTTTACAAAGAACTTTCAAATTTACACTACATGTGTTTTACAAATTATTTTATTTAACAAAATGATTTTTTATTAAGTTAAATTTATTATTAATTAATAATGGGAATTACAATATATTAAAACATTATTAATTATTACTGCAGTCTTATATTCTTATAACTGTTTGGGATTTTTCATCAGATGACATACTGGATCCCAAACTGGTGGAAAATCCGGAAAAATAGTTTCATTCGCTATGTGTAACAATCGCGAAAACCTAAGAAGTCGATATAATTATATACCTCGATATCATTATTACTTTTCTATTAAAAAAAAAGACTAAGGATTTCACTGGTATAAAGTAAAATAAAACATTTCACGGACACTGGTTAGTGTTTATGTATAGTGCTTTGTATTATTATTATTAGTAGTGCTTTGTAAACAATAATAACAAATTACTGGAGTATTTTCACAATAAAACGAATATCATGGTAGTAAAATATGATATTCAACAAATAAATAACAAAATTTCCGGGAGAAATATATAATTAGATTTAGATTTTCGGGATTGGTATGTAAAACCATAACAAACATGTTATAACTAAAGGCAATCGTTAAAAAACATCGATTCAAATTTTTCCTGTACTAATACGGTTCATTTTGCTTGGGTCGAGCGGCAGGCACACTAGCATTATTTCAGAATTTTATTTTTTTACTAACGAAATTAATACCATTTGCATATCGTATTCCATACGTACAGTCAAGAGCATGTCAAGCTTGACACTTTGTACTTTGGACCGTTGTTATCGTAAGCGACAGAGTTGGATTAAAATCTTAAGTGTCAAGCTTGATTTGCTCTTGACCTTGTGCGTGTTCTATTTAGTTTAGTTGATATAAAAAAAAGTAGATGTAAGTAGATGCTGAACGGGGGAGCTCTTCGCTGTCTACAACGAGGAAGGCATAAAGCAACACTGTTCTATCAACCATATAACTACTTATAGTTATAAGTATTTACCGTATGCCGAGTGGTGGTAATCTCTCTTCTAGTCCTGGCATGATGCACAATGGGTTGGACTAGACTATGGCGGCTGAATTCCGAGGCGGAGTTTTCTGTAACAATGAATAATAAATAGCCTTCAGCAGTTCATGAGCTAGGAACTTTTACGAATGAATTTGCTGCTACTTCAATAACGTGTTTTAGGATTGTTAAAATAAAACCCTTTACAGCTCTTAACTGCCACAGTGGCCGAATGGTTACCACGCTGCTCTGCCACGCAGAGATCCCGAGTTCAATTTTTGGTCCATGGGCAATATTTGTATGGCCAATATTGAATTCTCTCGTGAGTTTGGGTGTAATTTGTGGATGTCTTTGTGTGTGCATGGCACCCGCGACACAGGGTTTCCCTAGTGCGGGTCTATGAGTATGTGTGTTAGTTACATATTTATAAGTTTTCTTTGTTGATATCAATTTACGGTCCTCTGGGGTTCTTAAGACTTTGTCATTATGAAGATTCGTGTTCTTTTTCAGAAAACGTTGAAATTAGGCCATTCACTGGGATCAAACTTTACCGTACCCTAAGCGACACGCTGGTCCATAGCAGTTGCAGTACTACTCTGAGATTTAAATCGTAAAAATATGAGGGGCACTACCACTGCGCTCATCACCTTGAGACATAAATTGACAAGTTCCTTGTGCCTGTAATCCTAACAACACCCGTAAAAAACTCAAAACCGTAATAGAATAATGTGAGCATTACTGCTTGGAGGCAGAAATAGGTAAGGTGGCAGTACTTCTCTGGATGAACTGTTTTAAGAGGAGCTCTACAGCTACGGAACATATCGCACTGTTAATACAATAGTGTATTAATTCAAAAAGTGTATTTTTTCAGAATCTATAGAAAACGAATTACTCACTTCCCATGAAAGATTATTAAAATGTATGTATAAAATGTACTTTATTACAGACATCTAAACAATTTCATACTTTCCAAATACATTTAAAAATAAAAGGGAAAAAGTAATTTTATATTTTTGAGTAAAGATAGTTTAATTCAGAACCAGCTCACATAAAATTTGTCTCATTTTGAGTTAAGTAGATATATTTTAATTGTTTCTTACAATATTCAAACAACGGTTTTATTGACGTGTAGAGAATTAAATTTTACGTTCAGCTATGGTTTCATCTTGAAATTCATGTATTTTCAGTTACAACAATAGCAGTGAGATATATTTTGTTTGAGTGGCTAATAACTTTGCTATTTCATGTGGTTCTCGTAGTTGAAATGTAGGTATTCATATTGTTATGTGGGAACACCTTCTTCAGGTTTATTAGAATTAAGTTAAACACAAACTTTTTTTATTTAATTATTTTTAATCATCATAAATGGAACGAAAATGTTTAGTTAAGCTCAGTAGCCATTATATAATATTAATTTATTCTACACTTTATTAATTCAAAGAAACGAATAAAGATAAAATGTTTTTATTTGCTTACAAACACTTATTATTCAAAGAAAACAAAATATTCCAAAAAACCAAAATATTTTGTATTGCTTACGCCAGTTTTAACCTTACTCAGTTTTAACCATCCTCTAAGGTTTTAACATACCTTCGCCATTTTGTTTTACTCTGGTCACGTAAATGTTAAGAGTAGGTACCTACTTGAAAATGCGTATTTATTTTTTTTCCTTCCTTGTAATAATGTTTTTAATGTTTATTTTAAAATAATTACTTCATTAACGCGATAAAAAATAAAAGTCTGGTATAACAAATAACATACACTATTTCTATACCTAATAATATGCATAATACAAGGAAAATAATACCATAGCATAATAATGAGCAAGTCGAACCTGCTTCGTGCGTAAATACCACTACACTCGGAGCGTAGCTATGGTTGTTACAATATTAATTTCGTAGTATGTGTTCGTAAAGGTATATATAAATAAAAGGATATACTGCTTTTCCGTGACCAAGCTGGTTACATAAAGTAAAATAATACACATTTATTGTTAGTAAAAATGTTTTACTAATATTATTTCGGTATCGCTTATTTAGTGCGAAGTATGGAACTGCTGCTTATTTTTTACTAGAGAATCCAAGTTCGCGGAAAAAGAAGTTTTATCCTGAGGTCTGCAGCTTGATTTTGATTGCCTCTCCCGATCGGAAATGGAATTTTCCGAGTCGAGGCGCATAATTGCGATTCACAACTGGCCGATCGGAAACTTTTGACATTTCTAATCGGAATAACAGTTGATTTAACTCACAAATTAGAAAGATATAGTAGGAATAGGTTCATCTTCTCGCTCGGAAACCCATCTGATTTCGAGACTACCTAATCGGATCGATTCCGATTTGAATCAAAATCAGCGCGCCTCACTATGGGCACACCCCGGACACTCCATACAACGGTCGAAAGTTATTTACCTACTACTACTACATACAGCAAGGTGCTATCTGCACACGCGCAAATATATGCGTAAAGTGACAGGATTATTTATCACTTTCTCGTACAATTTACGTTACGTGGCCAGAGAGGCAACAAAGCGAAAATTGTTAAGCGAATCTGTTGTCTTTAATCCTATTAAAAGAATCCTAAGTTACACATGTTCATTAGGTATTTATATCGATATATTATATTTTTCATTAATTAACTAACTAGAATAATATTGAAGATTTATTTTAGAAATATAATAACAACACTTAAAAGATTGTATTTTGGACAGGTTTTATATAAGGTAACCAAGGTATTTGAAATTGCGTGTCCAAGTTTATCAATAAGCGACCACGGTTCCAATTGAAGGTCGTATGGGTTTCATCACGCTTTCTTCTTTATACTATCCGCCAAGGCACAAAATCACAGCACAAATGTTCTCCGCCTATTTTCAGACCCTAGGTTAAGATACATTGCGGGCTATGATTTGAATGCCAAACACACTTTTTGAGCTCTCGCTGTACTAGCACTCGTGGACGCGAAGTAAAGCGCTGTGCCGACACCATCCATCTGACATCTTTATCGACCGGAGAACCAACATATTGGCCAAGTGACCCTAGAAAGCTGCCCGACCTTCTGGACTTCTTCCTGAGTCAGGGTGTGGCTCATGTGAATATGAAAATCGAATAAGAGCTTGGATGGATCCTCAGGTCATACACCAATAATTCTGACAGTGAATGCGAGTGTGATTACTCATGAAAAGGCAGAATCACTTGTGTTGTTTTAGAAGCTACATAAATCAAAATATAAAACTATCAATCATATAAAAGCACTCCGATTAGATAGATGGAGCATGCATACATGTCACGAACCTTATCCAAGTAGCAGGTTGGGCTAACACACTGGAACAGGATCCAACTCCAAGCATTCCCACCCAACCAACGAATATTCTTGCAACGATGCTGGAAAAGCGCCGTATAAGACGAGTCTGGCTTCAGTCGCGTCAACCGCTAGACAAATATAGGTACAATAAGGCATGCAAAGAGCTCCAGAGTATCATCAATGCATTAATCAACTCTGTAGTTAACACTAACTTGCATATGATGGCCTCTACCGGACATGGTGAGTATTCACTTTGGAAGGCAACTAAAGGCTTAAATAGACCCCTACAACAATACCCTTCTATCAGAACATAGGCGGGAACAGATACAGAAAAGGCGGAAGTATTTGCTAAGCACCTAGCTGAAGTGTTTAAGCCGTATGATAAAGTGACCGATGAAGAGTCTGACTTGGAGACAGCTCTAGCGCAGGACTTTCAAATGTGCTTGCCTTTTAAACCTGCCTCTCCAAGGGAAATTGCGCAACAAATAAGATCATTACATCCAAAAAAGGCCCCTGGATTTGATCTTATCACTCCGAAAATATTAAAAAATCTCACCAGTTTGGATTCCGTAAATCTCACTCAACTATTGAGCAGGTTCATCGGGTATACCACACGATCCGACAGAGCTTTGAACACAAAAAATATTGTTCTGCAGCCTTCCTCGATGTGCAGCAAGCCTTTGATCGGGTGTGGCACAAGGGATTATTGGCCAAGGTTAAAGGCAGACTTCCACACTCGATGTTTCTTCTCATAGAGTTCTACCTGTCGGGCCGTTCCTTCCAAGTTAAACACAAAGAAGTGAGATCAAACATGTACAATATTCTGGTAGGCGTACCACAGGGCTCAGTCCTCGGCCCAGTTCTGTGTAGCTTCTTTACATCGGACTTACCAATATCGGATAACATCACAGTTGCTACATACGCCGATGACATAGCTCTTCTGTCCGTTGACGGGAATCCTGTTAAAGCTAGCACAAATCTCTAACTCCAACTAGATCTTACCTACAGATGGTTTTGTAAATGGCGCATCCGAGCCAGTGCCACCAAATCTCATCATATCACATTTGCACTGAGAAAAGGAAACTGTAAGTCAATAAGACTTGGTAATGAAACATTACCACATTCTGAATGTGTGAAGTATCTTGGTTTTCACTTGAACAGACATCTCACATGGAACCATCAGATAAAATGAAAAAGAGATGAAGTCAATGTCAAATATCGTAACCTTCATTGGCTCATGGGAAGAAATTCAACATTATCAGTAGACAACAAACTTCTAATCTACAACTCGGTCTTAAAACCCATTTGGACATACGGTATTCAGCTGTGGGGTGTGGCTATCAAGAATAATATACTTTGTCTCCAACGAGTGCACAATTGTATCCTGGGGGCAATAGTCAACGCTCCTTGGTTCACTCTTAATGAAGAGATTCATAATCATCTAAACGTGATATCGGTAGCTACTGAGATCGACCGACATAAAACTAAGCACAAAGAACGACTATCCTGCCACCCGAACTCACTCATCGCGGAACTTCTAGATCCATCAACTATGGTCGAACGGCTAAAGTGGGGTCATGTTCTATAGTTGGGAGTTGCGGCACTGGCCGCTCCACCAAAAAGTCTTCTCTCATTTAAAAGATTCGCTTAAGGTCTGGCGGCCGATAGCAAATAAAATAATACAAAAAAAAAAGCTTATCGTAGACAAATCTACTATCTCACGAAGTTAAGGCGTCTCATTATATTGATATATTAATAAATCTGTATTATATATTACTCTGCCCCCGCAGCATGGCTACGCATGATAGTCGCGACGCGCACGATAAAATTGAAATAAGCACGCGCTGAAACTCATGACGCATGTTTCACACCACCTTCCCTAGCACAAAATCTTTCTCTTTCTTAGTTGCACCTGTATCGCGGCTGCCATGGACACACACATAGACAACTACAAATTATACCCAAACTCACGAGAGAAATAAATATAGGCTCTACCCCTCGTCCTACTTTCTTTTTAAAAGGCACTTACTTTAGTCCCTATCCTCTCACTCAAAAATATATCACATTCTCTGTAAATTTGGACATAATTAATCATATTAAATTGTAAATATTGTTCGTGTATTAACACTGTATTTGTACTTAATTGCATAGATGTTGCTAACAATTTGTGTTGTTTAATTTGTGCTGTTCTATGGATCAATTTGTGCAAAAATCTCTTCGGTACTCCCTCTGAGTCACCGAACAAATTTTCCGTATATAAATAAATAAATAAATAACGCACACACTCAACATAGCCCCGCACTAGGGAAACCCTGTGTCGCGGGTGCCATGGACATACATATAGACAACCACAAATTACACCCAAACTCACGAGAGAAATAAATGTAGGCCATACAAACATTTCTCCCGGCCCGGGAATCGAACCTGGGACCTCTGCGTGGCAGTCCGGCATGGTAACCGTTCGGCCACGGAGGCAGTTAACTACAGTATACTTCCTCCATGATTGTGAAACTAGCATGAAACGGACACTGGCAGAATTTAGACAACTTTATGGTTTCACAAGTCATTCATTACTAAAATAAATAAATAAATGCAGAACATACAAATATTTCTTCCGTCGAAACAGGGACCACTGCGTGGCAGACCAGCATTGCATGGTGACTTTTCGGCCGCGGAGGCACTTTAACATCGAGGTTCCATACCAGCATTGCTTTTATAGCAAAAATACTTTATTTTAATTATCTAAACAGTGCGTAACAGGTGAGACGGAAAGAAAACTCAGAGGCAGTCTGTCTACTTAAAGCATCCACATTTTCAATCAACTTATCTGATTAATATTTGACGGACTAACTGTACCCATTAAGTTTTAAAGACCAACTTTAGTGTATGGCGTAACAGGCTGGTGCTCTCAGCTTGACACACTTTTTTCGTGTTGTTTACTTTTTGTTCTCTGCCCAAACTCACGAGAGACAAATGTAGGCAATACAAATATTTCTCACGGCCCGGGAATCGAACTCGGGATCTCTGCGTGGCAGACCAGCACTGTAACCGTTCGGCCTTGGAGGTAGTTGGATGTGTTGTACGTTATGGTAGATGTTCAGTAGCAGTAGAACTGTTTATGGAAAAGTTCGCTCTGGGAAGTACTGCTACCTATTTATTTATTTATTTTATCTATTATTATTATTAGGGTAACTTCATTCGGGACATATGCAGCCCCTGATCACTGCAACCTTCATCTGATCTATTGTGATCACCACTAATTATAGTACAGAGCCAAGGCCGGCAGCATTGAAGAACTGTAGGACTTTCCTGGCTCTGACAGATTTTAAGACCTCTGGTTGAGGCATGTGCCTTCCTAGTATGGAGCTTCGTACACCGATCATTACCAGGGGTAGCATTGGGTAAGAAGCTGAACAGGAGTTTCATCCGCTTCGTGGCAGAATCTACATCCTCTATTCTCTCTCTGACCAATATTTGACATGTGCTTATTCAATCCACAAAATCCTGTTAAGACTCTAGTGAGTATTATGATGCCATTCCTGTCCAATGTCAGATCTTCTCTACAGTGTTTGACACTGCAAGCAGCTACCGGGGCTTTTGAATGCTCAAGACCCTTGCTCTGTAATCACACTTCTCGGGTGACATGTGTGCTCCCAATCAGCAGAGTGAGCTTTGCCCGGCTGTATGCTATCCCTATAAAGGGTTCGGGTCCAATAAATGTTTCCCTAGCACCAGCCATTGCCAGTTCATCTGCTGTCTCATTACCCTCCATGTCAGAGTGGCCTGGAACCCAACATTGGACCACTTTATTCCTTTCCCTGAGAGCATTCTGTATAGTCATATAATTTTCAACAATCCTCGATGTTTGGGTGACTGAGGTTAGCGCATATAGAGTGGCTTGACTATCTGAGTTTATTTAAATATACTTGTTAGTGTAGAGCCTCTCTTCAAGTTGAAATCCGCACCATGCTACCAACATATTTCTGCAGCCAAGCAGTAATGGGAATGTTCCGGTTTTGAAGGGTAAGGATGCTGGTGAAATTACAGGCACATGGGACTTGTCATCTTATGTCTCAGGGTGACGGGCACAGTGGCAGTGCCCCTCAGATCTTTGTGTTTTAAAACTCTGAGTGGCACTGCAACTGTTATGGTCGCATACCACCAGACCTACAACTAGTTTGTCTTGTTGTTACTTAATATTAAAAAAAAATTAAATAAAGATTCCTTGTAGGTATCTACCTTTACAACATACATATATATGTTTAGATATTTAATAAATTTATTGGCTGCGAAAGTTTTAAATGTAAAAAAAAATATAATAATTATTCATTGCAGCAAATACATAAGTACCTACTAAGTTTTGCAGTAATTACTTTATTTCAGAATTTTAAGCAACATTTTTAATACTTATGAGCACTCTATAACATTAAGTATAATTTGCTAAATATTCTTTTTTTACATTTGCAAGCTTAGAATAATAACGCATAGAAACCTAGTCCGCACACGCTAAGTGAGGCAAATTGAAGCGCTCCCAAAGGGCCTACACGAGCGGGAGGGCCGTCAGTGCTCAAGGTCAACTTGCACCGCGAACAGATCAAGAATTTTAGCTAAAAATGACGAAATATGCGGTAAATGAGTGTAAAAATACATCAGACAAACATAAAATAGATAATAACATCACATTCCACAAGGAAGTAACGCGTTTTAACTTGTATTTTTATATAAATATTCACTAAAACCGAAAATTAACCTACTACTAACACCAGCCTACATGAATTTGATTTTTGCCTCACAGTGACAGTTCGTTTGATATGAAACTATCATTCTATGCGTTATTATTCTAAGTTTGCAAGTTTACAACAATGCATTTATTGTATCAAAATGATATCATATTGCTTGTGAACCTACCACAGCATGCTAAGTAGGCAGTTATTGCAACAACAAAAAGTTTATGTAAAAAAATAGTTACTCAAAGGTTACTCATTTAAAAAGAAAATTTACGAGGTTTTTTATATAGGTACTTCCACATATAAAAAGTAACTTATTGGAAACATAATCTGAGCCACCTTGCATTTTCAGTGCAATTTTCTAATTGTATAATTCCATTTAACTGTGTAATACTGGGGAAAACTTTTTCTTTTATGATGATAACATTTTTGTATTCTAAATAAAAAACCTTTACGAATAAAAAATAATGCAAGGTGGCTCGAAACTATGTGTCAGGGAGTGTATTACTTACTCAGTCCGTGGGCTTTAACACAGTCTTTTGCTAACAAAAATAAAATAAGAATACACGCAAAGTACACAACACTAATACTTTGATTCATATTAACAGGAAAACTATATAGTTTGTGACAAACTTTACACTATATTATATTCCTTACATGCAAACAATCTGAAAATAAAGTTTATTGTCATAAAAGGCGTCGCGCCACACATAATTTTATTCCTTCAAAGATAGTCAACCTCCTTCGCTAAACTCCACTTCAAACTAAAGTTGAGTAGTTTGTGCTAAAATCACAAACTTCCTGAAACTGACAGTGTTGCAAAAAACACTAGGTCCAATGTCGCCATTTTTCACAAACTTAGTAGCCTGATGTAGCCGAGTTTTAAGCGTGATAGGCTAAAGTAGCTTATACGCCAAATGAAAAACAGCAATAAATAAAATAAAATTGTAGTTTAAATCAATAATTTATTCAAATGAAAAATGAAACCCAAGTACAACCAAATAAAAGTAAATAAATTGACATAATTGGGTAAATAACTGCTTATTGCTCACTCCAAATCTCAATACTGTAGAGCGTTCGGTTTTAACAACTATAGCTATAATTTGTCAGTATTTTTGTAAACAAAAAGTCTTCAAGAAATAATTCTCTACTATGACCAGCCCCCGTAGCATGGCTACCCATGGTAGTCGCGCGCGATAAAATTAAATAAGCGCGCGCTATTGGCTGTCTCAATCAGATGTAATTTATATATATATATATATATATATATATATATATATATATATATATATGGGCAGGGATACATTTGTTCCCCAAAGAACAGAAAAGAAAACTGGGAAAAAAATTTGGAAGGAAAAATTTTAAGGCTACTAATTTGTTGAGGTTATGTGCGTCCGAAGATAGGTAAGGCTGAAATTTTCCAAAAGCAAATATCATGTATCCCTTTTCATTCCTGGCATGCTAACATTAATACTTAGGTATGGAATTATTCTACTAGTATAATATGTTATCATTTATTAATTTATTTTTGTCTGTTTTAGGTGATGAACCTATAAACAAAGTATTGAAGAAAACTGCTGCGCCCTCTATATTTTCTTTTACTAAAGTCAAACCATAGGAAATGAAAATATTTTTCCAGATTTAAATCGCGTATATTTGTTTTTTCAAACAAACCGTCGCTTCGGGCCCTTTACAGGACCCATGGTCACGGTTGGCTGAGGTGGTAGTCTACAACCAGTGCAAACCACCCTATTTTTTCAATATAGTTACAATAGTTATTAATTAAATACCTTATTTTTAATTTTACAAAGAAAATATTCCAATTTACTACATTAAGTTTTACAATTTATTTTATTGAATGAATTTTTATGAATGTCAATTTATTATTAATTAATAACAGAAATTACAATAAACTAAATCATACTAACTAGTCCTGCAGTCTTATGTCTGTTTGAGATTTTTCATTAGAGGAAATACTGAATCCCAAACTGGTGGTACGGAAAAACCATCTTCCCTGTTGAAATCAGGATGTTTTTTAATTTCAATGGCCTCTCGCAGCATCCTGGATAGATAACGGACTTCTTTTGCAAGGACCTGGGGTTTGTTAAACTTCATTGAATGTGTAGGTTTTTCCATGACATGCTCACAGACTGCAGACTTGTTGACGCGACGGTGTTTGACATCAGCTATATGTTCTTTGGCGCGGGTACAAATACTTCGGTTTGTTTGTCCAATATAAGAGAGGCCGCACTCACAGTCAAGCTTGTAAACTCCTGCATCCTGTAAGGGGATGTTACATTTCACGGGTCTCAGGTACTGAGAAATCTTCCTCAGGGGTTTGAAATAGGTCTTGATAGATGCACGCCTGAGGACTCTCAAGTCAAACCAGTCAAATTATTAGCACAACAAGCAATGTTCACATATATTGCTAAAGAGAAGTCGCATGAAACTTTGTTTTGAAACGTTTATTAGACTTAGATTTCGCGGGAAATTTCCACCGAAACTGACCAACCATAAACAATTTCTCTTTCTTAATGTCACAGACTTTTCCAAGTTTTCGTGCGGAAATTATGTTTTCTTTAATGTACGCTCATTTTTTTATTCTTAAGATTGTAAACCGAAAGTAGTCTAATCGCCTATTAGACTACTTTCGGTCGCCTTTCAGATTTTTTCGTCCTGAGTCGCCTAATGTCGGGTTCACGAGTCTTTCACTTGCGTTTTTCGCTTGCTTGCGTGACTCGCTTCGCGCATACGCAGAAATCTGTCGCGTACGCGCAGGTACGACTTCACGAGACGCTCGCTTGCGCCGGCCGCTTACTTTGCGTTGCGTGAGGTTGATATCTAGCAAGCTTGATATTTGCACGCAAGTAACAAGGAACGTTTGCGGAAGACAGCACCACTAGCCAATTACAGAAGCAGCAGCAGAAGTCTCTCCGCAACGCAAAAACTCATGAACGCCTTTGCGCGGAAGGCAAATTTCTACGCCGTGTACCCAGCCAACGCAACCAAGCGAAAAACGCAAGTGCAAGACTCGTTTCTGTCGCCAAGCAGTAACGTCAGCATTAATGTTGTGTTCCGGTTTTGAAGGGTAAAAGTGTTGGTGAAATTATAGGCACATGGAACTAACTAGTCAAATTATGTCTCGGGGTGACGGGCGCAGTGGCAGTGCCCTTCAGATCTTTGCGATTTAAAACTCCGAGTGGCATTGCAACTGCTATGGACAGGCGTGTAGCTTACCGTCAGGGGCACGATTTGTTCGTCCCATCACTTATATATATATAATAAAGTATGAATAAAATAGTTTACGCGCGTCAAAACTTGAGCACTTGTGATATTACGGGCGGACGCCGAGCGTTGCGAATCGCGGGAAAACTAACAATACGAACATCCACAGACCTGAAACGACGAAATGTTTTATACCTGGCAAAACCTCCTTTTATTGAATAATTAATTGTACAGCGTCAATGAGTTTTTTTTAAACAATTGTAAATTTGTTTTGCTTAACGTCGTTATACTTAGTCAAGCAGTACATAGTTATACTACTTTATATTATCTTCGTTATTATTGTTTGCGATAATGACGATCATATTATTATCCCTTGATAATGACTTTTTTGTAATATTGTGACATTGATAATATGAAATAAATGATTGTATTCTATTCTATTCTTTGGGTTTATTAAATCGCTTTTTTTTTTCTTTTCTTTTATTAAAACTCTACTCATTGCTCAAGTCAGGATTTGAGTATGATTTCAAGCTCTGGAAATATGACCCTAATGGCAAGGGCTTGAGTATGATTTCTAGTGCTTTAAATCATACTCAAGTCCTGACTTGAGCGTTGAGTAGAGTTCTGGAATACGACTCTGCTACTAAAATTTTATTCGTGTAAAAAATGTAACTACTAAAACCCGCCATTTTTTTTGACGAGACACTACCTAGGATGAATATATTTAGCGTTGGCAACTTGTTAGACAAGGACAGACCATTGCTTCGAGCTATCTCATGTGGCTTAGTTGTTACTTTTGCATAAAATAAACCTTAACATAACTCAATAAGGTGTAAATTTGTAATATTGGTATATCGAAGTCCGCGATCCAGTTTATGAAATATATAAATCTGTGGTAGTCTGTCCTTTTTGGACGAACAGAACAAAAAAAATGGGGGTAAATTCAAACAGGGGGATCCCGTCAAATGAAAACGCTGTTAATACCGAAATGCTATGTCAGCGAGTCAGTTACATTATCGCGTAAAATGTAAGCCGTTTCGAACGTAAACATTAATATTTCGTGCATCGAACTTTAACGACTATTATAATCTTCTTCATTTACTATTTCTTATGTATTAAATATAGTGCGGTGTCACGATCTTGACGTAAGTACTTTTTAATTCTTTTTAATTAGGTATGCATTTTTTGTCGTTGAAAATACTGTTCGAAAGAAATCGTTGATTTTTTAGCTCTATTAAACAACTTTGTTAGTGATAAAAAACGTTTGTCTTTTATCTTATTTATGTAGTTTAGGTAACTAGTATTAAATTAGTATTATAATACGATGGTAACGAATTCGACTCTTAGTAACTTATCCATAAAACTCGTATATCGACCTTTATGTACCCATTACCCAACAAAAGACCATACCTATTTGTTTTGTCTCTAATCATGGCAGCCATTATGAAAGATGTAAAAACTGATGAACTGCCTACTCTCAAGTACCTACACATCTGCACTTTGTACACAGATGTTTGTAAGAGATTTGCTGCATATTAACCTTCAATATAATTCTTCCTTACGTTCAAATGTTTCTAGCCACTCAAAGTAATCAACCACACAGGTGAAATGCAATGCCATACATACCCAACAATCATCTAATTGTTTTTGTAATCTTTTTAGTGTATAGGATACTTGCTTTGCTAATCTGTGAATACCCATTGCATATCTATTACCTAAAATGAAACTAAGTAACTTAATAATGTTTTCTCCTTTTACATTGATTGGTTTCACAGTGAAATATAATGCATAAGTATAACCTACCACAAAGCCTTAAATCCCTAGTTTAAAATTCTTTTTTAATTATGATATGAATTCTCTCTACAGACAATGGAGTCAAAGATCCACCGGAATGCAATTCTCACTGGCTATGTGGATGCATATTGCTTAATCTGTGAGAATTTGCTGAGAACAGAGGACATCTTCAAACACATCGACAAGCCAATTCATATGAAAAATCTCCTCTCCTCTCCTTATGTGAACAAGTATAAGGGTGAATATATAAGAAAGGTTAGCAATTTGATATTTTACTGCCTCCTTGGACGAATGGAAGAGATCCCAGGTTCGATTCCCGGGCCAGGAGAAATATTTGTGTGGCCTACATTTATATCTCTCGTGAGTTTGGGTAATTTGTGGTTGTCTATGTGTGCGTCCATGGCACAAGCCGCGGCACAGAGTTTCCCTAGGGCGGGGCTTTGTTGAGTGTGTGCGTTGAGTGTGAGTGTTGAGTGATATGTATTCAAAGATAAATGAGAAATTCTTAGAAATAATAAAAATATGTGGAATGGATAGTCATTCAAACTTAGTAGCAGTAGAGCTCCTTGTGAAAGAGTTCGTCCAGGTTACCTTACCTATTTCTGCTGCCAAGCAGTAATGGCAGCATTACTGTGTTCCTGTTTTGAAGGGTAAGGGTGCTGATGAAATTACAGGCACAAGGGACTTGTCAACTTACGTCTCAGGGTGACGGTCACTGTGGCACTGTAATTGGCATGTACAGCTTACCATCAGGCGCACAACTTGTTCGTCCCGTTACTTGATGTTACATTAAAAAAATGATGTCGTTTTATGTGTACAATGGTTTGTGTAGGCATAACTATAAAACTAGAATATTAAGTAATACTGTTAAATAAGTCAACATACTCATTAAGTTGATGTTATTTTTTACTATGGACCTAATAACTTTTGTAGTAAACAACTATTTCTTATTAACTTATTTTCAACGTCAATATTAAGCACTAATTAAATTCAGCAATTAGTCCGCGATTCCATATTGGAGTCTCAATCAAAATCCCATTAGTCTGACATTGTTATAAATATTTATATTGAATATAATATGTGTGTGTTTATGTATTTATGTGTATATAGGTTGCTTATATAAGTATATAGTTAGTCATATAATATTATGTGTTATATTTATATTGTGTTTAAACTATATATCATAATTATTTATAAACTTCTTCCTATCTGTTTTAATTATCATGTTATGCACCCCTGTTAGTTATTTTGAACCCAGCTCTCCGGTTGACTGGCAGAGAATGCCTAATGGTATTAAGTCCGCCATTTGTACTGTTTTGTGTGCAATTAAGTTTAAATAAATAAATATTTATTATTAACAATTCATTGTTTGTACCAAAAAGAATATTAAGCAAATTAATAACAAGAGATATGGTATGGTGTAATTGCCTGGTATCTGCAACTCGCAGTTAGACGCCAATTTTGCGTGTGCTGGGTGCACCGTCTTTTTTATGATAGTAAGTGATGGGACGAACAACGGACCGGACGGAAAAAAGTCGTGCGCCTGATGGTAAACGACACGCCTCTCCATAACAGTTGCAGTGCCACTCAGAGCTTTAAATCCCAAAGATCTGAGGTGCACTTACTCTGCGCCCATCACCCTCAGACATAAGTTGAAAAGTCCCATGTGCCTGTAATTTCACCAACACCCTTACCCTTTAAAACCGGAATGCAGTAATGCTCACATTATTGGCTTGGCAGTAGCAATAGGTAAGGTGGCAGTACTTTCCTGGATGAACTCTTTCACAAGTAATGTGATTCGAGCCTGATTCTACAAATTTTCATATATTCTTTGGGAGTGGGTGACAACATTTCTAAAAAATGCATCATAAAACAGGCTTATCATGGAAAAGTCCATTGCTAATGGATTGTAAATAAATCAATTTTATATTATCTGACAATGTTATCATTCATTTTGTTGATTGTGTTTATGTTGGTGCACTGTGTTCTTTACACACTGGATGTGACTTATGATTGGAACAGTCCATACTATACATGTTCCATTTCTGTTTCTAGTTATGATAATGAGAATAATGGTTTATTATAGACATTGTTAGGTCCATAGCAAAAAAACATTTACAGGCTAATGAAAATGTCAACTTGTTTCACTATTTTGCAATATAAAACCTATGCATAATATTTGAGTATCCAGTATCTTTTTTGACAGTACTGGAAATATTGATTTATGAGATTTGTTATTTTAAAATTTTTATCACTTACAGCTTTCTTACCTACTTATTATTTCAATATTTTGTTGTGATTCTCCTTGAATCTTATTAATTTCGTTACATGCTGCTTTCTATTCCTTCCATTATACAAGACACGTCATGCACTCGTATAATTCTTCCTTAATTTGGTTGTTGAGGGAAATGCTGATACAATGGCTGCGTCTTTAAAGTTTTCCATTCCAGACTCTGGCAACAATCAAAACAATAGTTCTACCTAAGGCTATACCATCAATCAGTAGTAGTATTGGGCATTGTATAGGAAGTAATTCGCGTTTTGGCATCATTGCATATTTTTATGAATATATTTTTCCTGCATCTCGTCAACCTTTAATATCGTTAAGTCCCACTTTTTAGATGATTCTCCTCTGAAATTATTATTTTACAATGCTTTTCATTTTCAAAGTAATGTGGTTTCATCCATTTCATCTCACCAAATTTTTCAGAAGCAGCTGCAACTGCAGCTACAACTTTTTCTGTTACTTTTCAATTTACACATCAAATCAACTTCAAGAACATCTATTTCAGGTAAAGCAAGGGTACTACTGTGAATTTTGCAACATTCTCTTCCCAACAACAGCTAAAGTAAACTTACACATTGCCGAAGCAACCCACATTCAAAACAAAGGTGCCCCAGTTGTGAAACGCGTTGGAAACTCTTTGATAGCGTTAAACGACATTTACATAAACGAAAAAGCATGGAATGGTTTGATTGAAGACATTTGCGCATTGTGCAATTTAGAGTTTAATAACGAGAACATCCATAAGACAGAGCAAAACCATATATTGAACTTGATACAGAAGAAAGTCCAGTTTCTCGATAAAAAGGCTGTTTACAGGATGGTGGGTATTCTATATATATATATATATATATATATATATGTACTGGTTATTGTATTTGTGGGTTTATATATTTACTGTCAGTGTTCATCAGCACAACAGCAACCTCAGCTTTGAATTCAACTATATGCTACTTACCATAAGAATTGTCTCAAAGTCTTGTATCTAAATCTGAGTATGCTATTTAGTGTATAAAAAACATTAATAACTCTAATAGCTTTTAAAATTAACTGTTATAAAATTATTATTAGTTATTCATAATACATCATGAGTACCAGTTCCTATTGGTAATGATTAAATCTGATGTTCCCAGTCTACATTGGACCAGTGTGACCAACTAACCTATAGTCTCTTCTTAGAGGAGCCCCGTGCTCAGCAGTGGGATATATAATAGGTATAATGGATATATAATTGGGTTGTACGGTTGGACTTTATGCTTGTTTATTGCATTCAGTAGAGAAACAAAACACTAAGGTTACAGATTAGATTGCAAATGCGTATTTAATTAAAACAATATTAAAATTTCAGGTTGATAATGAATCTTTTCAATGTCTAACATGCAATATGATATTTGCTCTAAGCGCGATTGAAACTCATTTCGGCGAAAATAATCACAAAAACATGTTCCAAAAATGTCGAGAAAACCCATTTGAGCCAGCAATAATTGTGCAACAAAGTGACAAAAAAGCGCTTAAAAATCTAGACGATGCATCAAAGGAAATTGCCAATAAGTCAACACTTAAAACACCTAACACACAACAAGCAGAACAGAATTTGGGTAATACTAATATGAAAACTAACAGAAGTGAACCTAAATATGGAAGCAAAACGAATGTAAATGCGACAGCAAAGATGGAGGAAGCAATGGGACACGTCATGAAACCTAATTTTGACCAAAACCATAATGACACTGTCAAATACGGGACCACAGGGGAAGAAGAAGCCCAGAACATGTCACTTAATATATTAGATGTTCCAAAAAACTTGAATCAGACTCTTGCAACAAGTACCCCAACAGAAAGTCAAACATCAAGAAGAGAAATAAATGACGAAAAAGCGCGTAAAATACACTATATACAAAAAGTTGTCAAAAGTGCAAAGCCTAATGATACACTGAATGAAGTCCCTAAGAAGTCAATACTTGAAACATTTAACCCAACACAGATGGAAAATAAACCAGATAAAAATAAAAATAGTAATCCAAAAATCACCACAAGTGAACTTAAACATGAAAGCAAAACGAATGTAAATGCGACAGCAAAGATGAAGGAAGCGGTGGGCCACGTCCTGAAAACTAATTTTGACCAAAACCACAATGAAACTGACAAAAACCAGCCCACAAGGGAAGAAGAAAAAGCTGAGAACGCTACACAAAATTTGTCAGAAGTCCCCAAAAACTTCAATCAGACTCTTGCGATAAATACCCTTACAGAAAGTAAAAAAGAAACATCTTCAAGAAGGGAAATAAATGACGAAAAAGTGCTTAAAATAAACCGTGTACAAAAAGTTGTCAAAAGTGCAAAGCCTAATGATACATTGAAAGAAGACCCCAAGATATCGACACTTGATACGTCTAACCCAAATCAGACGGAAAAGAAATCAGATAAAAATAAAAATACAGAAACCAACACAAGTGAACATAAACATGAAAGTAAAACTAATGTAAATGCAACAGCAAAAATGGAGGAAGCGGTACACATCATGAAAACTACTTTTGACCAAAACCACCATGACATTGACAAAAACCAGCCCTCAAGGGAAGAAGAAGAAAAAGCCGAGGACGCTATACAAAATTTGTCAGAAGTCCCCCCCGAAAACGTAAATCAGTCTCTTGCAGCATGTAACCAAACAGGAAGTCCAAAGGAAACATCTTCAAGAAAGGAAATAAATGATCAAGCTGAATTTGCTAATGAACACAATCTGACATACAATGAAGGTAAAGGCAATGCATTTTGTCGTTTATGCAATGTACGATTACCAGCGCATTTGAAAAGTATGAAGGAACATGTGAAAGGTACAAATCATACAAATAAAGTAAAGTTGAAATATGGAAACATCGCCAAGAATAAAAAGGACAATTTTCCGAAGACTATTCCAACAGATAAGTTTCTCAGACAGATACATTCAATTAGGACTCGCCATGGTCAACATGTGATATTGAATGACAAGTTTTTCTTGACATTGCACAGTTATTCGATGATTACGAACAATATGAACATTCTACGCTGTCAAGTTTGCGAAGTGAATCTTCTTGACGGGATTGAGCGTCACTTAGACACCAGCACCCATGAAACTGCCATAGACAAGACTCCCGTTGTACAGAAATTGAACGGCGAATTTGTTAGGGAGGTAAGTAAGGGAGTTGTAACACTTATAGACGCGGAGTCACATTAGTTTTATTAATTTTACTGCTCAGTAAAATTCTTTATGTCCATGCAATTAACACTTAAGGACTCGCGCCCGAATTTGTAACGCAAAGACTCGCTACCGGGTCCACTAGACCCAGTAACATAATGTTAGCTGAATCCAAAACTACTGAATGCAATACAATGATTTTTATTAAACATGATTAAGATATTAAAATTAAAGGAAAACAATAACATGCATTATCTTTTATTGTTTTTGTATGTTAATAAAACTCTAGTACAAAATACAAGTATTTTTATCGAGTATTTATGGCACTTTTCAATTTTACAACTACAAATTGTAAGCAATGAAACTTATATTATAACTTTTTGTATTTTCTTAAACAACTATAACTTACTTATCTAAAATCACATGAAGAGATCAATAATTACTTGAAAAAAAAAAGTAAATCGACTTCGAAAATGAACAAAACAAAATCAACTTTTTTACTCAACATCGAGAATTAGCATCACTCAATCACTCTGTGATACAGATTTATTGTAACAATTTGAACACAAATACTTGGTGTGTTCTCCACAAATTGAGATATTGCAGTTTTTGCAAGAATTTTTGGTTTTTCTATCCTTTTTCCAATCACATAGACCGCAACGCACTTTACGTCCGGAAATTGGCGGATTTGCATGAGGAGTTGGATGAACTTCGGGTATTATGTTTTGGATGCGATTTTTTATTTGTTGTGGTATATTTGTTATAAGTATTCTTTCATGAAGAAGAGGTTGTACCATAGAAATTGCCAACATTTTGATAAAATGTCTTCGTGCTAAGTTATCGGCAGCTGCCACGGTCTTGTAAATAATATAGGCATTTAATGCGCCAATATTTAAAACACCAAAAAATATACACAATGGCCATCGCTGGGTACGTCTCGAAACGGAATATGTGGCTGTCATTTGGTCGACAATATCCACTCCACATTTTGTAGCGTTATAATCACTTATCATTTCTGGCTTCTTTTTCTCGCCAGTTTGTTCATCAATTTTGGCATCATGATGCATTGTGGATGGTACTAGAACGACTTTTCCACTTTTAGGTACGTAAGACACAAGTGTGGATTTATTTTGGAAACCAAAGTAAGTTTCGTGTGCCTCTCTTCCTCTAGTCTGTGTAAACTCTTGAGGTATCTCTTTTTTGTTCTTCCTCAGCGTCCCTAAACAAGTTAGGCTAAAGTCGTCTAGCAGATCTGACATCAATGTAACGCTCATGAACCAATTGTCCATTACTATATTACGGTTACTACCTTTTATAGGATCTACTAGCCTTTTGACTACGTCGCCAGGAGAATTACTGAGCTGATACGGCCCATCCTTCTGTTTTCCTGCGTATATTTCCAAATTTGAAGTATAGTACGTCTTTGCGTCGCAAACAGCGAACATTTTGAGTCCGTACTTGGCTGGCTTACTGGGGAGATATTGACGGAATGGGCATCGGCCACGGAACGCTAAAAGCATTTCATCTATAGTTACATGCTCTCCATGTACGTAATGTCTTTGAATGTTAGATACGAATAGCTGGAAAATCTCTCGTATTGGTGCCAATTTATCATTTACTTTACGTGCTTCTCTTGTCCTTATATCATCAAAACGTAGGCATCTGAGGAGATGACGAAATCTTCGTCGTGACATAGTTGATATGCAGATATCACATCCAGTGCCGTCTGTGGCCCACAAGTCCTTAGAATTCAAATGTGCTCCTCTCAATTTTCCAATGTAGAAGAGAAGCCCGAACAAGGCTTTAATTTCATTAAGACATGTAGGTTTGCAGTCTCTTTCTCTTTCAAAGTTTGCTAAAATTTTCTCAGTCATGTAAATATTTGTGCATTCTACTATTTTATTCAAAATTTCATTACAAAAGAATAAACAAAATGCTTGCAATGGAGTGGTTATGTTGGATGCCTCATGACAAGGTCCTGGAACTTCTGTTATAATGTTATGACTCCGAGTTCTTGTATTTTGCATAGGTTGATCAATACTCCATTCGGTGGTTTTATCTTTTCCGATATAGAACCCTTTCTGTAAAATTGACAAAGGAACGCAATCTAAATCAGGTCGCCGGAGATCTGGTGCAGGTCGACGAATGCCTTGCCTCTCATGTGTATATTTAATTGGTGATATTCGTGAAGAACTTTCCTCACAAGGCACATGTTCGTCGCCACTTTCTTCTGAGTCTGTCTGATGGTCATTTATTTCTAAAAAGTCTTCATTTTCAGAGCAGTCTTCATTCTCTATTTCTTCATTAATATATTCTTCTATTTCTTTGTGGCTCATTGATTTGTAAGTAGCCATTTTCTATAGTAAAAACAGATATTAATAGTTATGAAATAATTAAAAACACACTTACGTTTTTAGTCGCTACGGGGTCTAACGGACCCATACTCACCTTAAACGTCTGCAGCACTCAAGCAAACCGCGCTAACTGACACTAACGGCCGCCGCCTGCCGGTGCCGCGCCATATTGGCCTTGGAAGGTACTAAGAACGGCAACGTCGCAAATTTTTTATTTAAAAAGCAATCCAGCAAAATTTGACGTACTGGGTCTGATGGACCCATTAGCGAGTCCTTAAGTGTTAAAGCGAATCAGTCAAATCAAATTCGACTGTATTTTTTTTGTCCGGTTTCGCGCTCATTCCGGTAACCGATTTCAATAAAACTTGGCAAATAGATGTAATTCCGCGAACTATGAGGTCGGATTTTTTAGTACTCTGTACTGAGATTCTTAATATATTGTGTGCCCTATAAATAGTCAGTTTCCTTTTTTTATATATTGTGTGCCCATTAGACGGACGCTGTCAAAATTGCATCACCGTTTCATTAGAGGCACTGCCTCGGACAGGTAGTGGTTTGTTTTAAATCACGCTGCAACATTATGAACTACATGAAGAAGGTAGTCGAAAGGGTGGAACCAAAGGGATGATTTATGTTACAGTGGACATAAAGGTTTTTTTGATCAGCTTAAGTTGATTCTGCATTGATAAGTGTGGGGATACATTATATAAATAAATAGATTATTATTAATTTAATTTAAATAAAAATTAAAAGTTAAAATAAAAATTCATCAGAATTTTTATTTTAGAGCTTTTCAATGTTATCTAACTGAAAAACCAAGTTACAAATAAAGGGTTACGCCCAATTTTGGCCCAGCGTAAACAAGACAAATTACAATACAGTAAAACTGCATTTTTTCAATAACAAATTAATCATAACTAGTAATAAAAAGAAAAGTTGGGATTAATCAAAACTAATTAAAAGTATTTTAATTTATTTTTGTCATAATTGCAATAGTTATTCAAAATGCATAAGAATGTTGTCAGTTTAGAAATGCAATAGTTCAAAATCGATTATTGGTATCATAAATCGATTATGATAAAGCCTTACATATTATTATGTTAGCGCAAGGCATCGTTAGTTTGCCGCTGAAGGTATATGCTGTTGGGTGAGTTAACATCCAATGGTATTTTGAATAGAGCATTCACACTACATGAATGCAATTAATCGCAATCGATACTATTTTTATTATTTGTTTCCATTGATATATTATATCAATGGAAATACATGTTTGTTTCGATACAAATATTTTTTTACTTTTGACATAATATATCAACACATTAATTAATTGAATAATGGAATTAAATATAGTTTAAGATTACTTTTTTTTAAATCTATGATCATTTACAAAAAAAATTCTATGGAACAGCAAAGAAAAGTATATAGTTTTTTTGTAAATATTTTTTATATTATTGTGAGAAGAGAATATAGAAACTAACAGTTGTTATAATACTTATGGAATCGATTACATATCGATCAATCGATTACCCTTTTAAAGTAGCGAGTTGGCAACACTAAACATCATTTTGACATTTCCTCTAGCGGCATTTTATGCGTTTGCGCTTTGGAAAATAAATTGTTAATTTACGAATTATATCTGACTACTCCGGCTTGCTAATGGATTCCGAATCTTCGCACGACGACACTGGCTTGCAAATGGATGATGTACCCGCTTCTCACGCCGATTACGGCCTGCAAATGGTTTCTGAACCCACTTCTACTGACAACTCTGGCACAGCCGCGGTTTCCGAAACTACAGCTCAAGTTGACTCTCCGTTGGAATCAGGGACTCAGCGACATTGTGTTAATTGTAACATAAATATCACGCGGATGAGAAGACATCCGTTGATGATCGATGAAATTCGATTACTTATTCAACAATGGGTTGCACCGCGGCAGGTGAGCAACAACAATTTATTACGAAAACTGACATTTTTAGTTCTAAGCATATTTTTATACATCTGTATTTTAATTTTATTGTAGGTATCAAGCAACAATTTATTATGTCATCCTTGTTGGTCTCTTGCTTGGAATGAAACCTTAAATTCACCAAACCAACCAGCTACAAGAATAGTTGGTCATCAGCTTGTGTGTGTAAATTGTGGCTGTTCGCTTCTGCGGCGAAGATCCCACACATTGCATACCAACACAGACCGGGAGAGGCGCATTAGAAATGTGATTGCAGAATGGATAATACCACGCCAAGTAAGTTTCTTGAAAGGTTTTCTTTATTTGTTTCTAGTGTTCACATTTAGACAGTAACTTGTAAATAATAAGTAATACAGTAACACACCCACATATCCAAGATGCAGTACCTATGCCTCATACTTTTGAAATCTAGTTCGCTCAATGTTTAGCTTGGGTTATATGGTCTTAAAGTAATTTGCAAATCAACCCGTCGGTTACAGCGGTATAATTATTGTTACTTTTGTTGTTGTGCATCATGCAAGTTACCATCATAGAGGACCTGGCATTCATGTTACTATAACTTTTTATGTTTTCGGTCACCACTTGTCCACTTTATAAGTCTTGTATTTAATTTTTTTGGCTTCCTTCAACTACTGCCAGATTAGGTTTGTATTATACACACACACACACACACACTCAACATAACCCCGCACTAGGGAAAACCCTGTGTCGCAGGTGCCACAAACATAGAAAACCACAAATTACACCCAAACTCATGACAGAAATAAACGTAGGCCATACAAATATTTCTCCCGACCCGGGAATCGAACCTGGGACCTCTGCGTGGCAGTATGGCGTAGTAACTGTTCGGCCACGGAGGCAATTTATACACATAATAACATTGCATTTTTTGTTCCAGCTTGGATCATCAGATCATATATGTCATCCATGTTGGCAAAGAAGTGATCGAGCATCCATAGATTTCACTGAGCCGTCTACATCACAACATGATGTGTCATCATCAGAATCTGCAGATCATTCCCAATATGAAGAAATAGATCGCACAGGAAGTACAATATTCTTACCCAACTATGTCAGAGCACCAAATACACAGAGACACTGCTTTTTTCCTGGATGCAATGAAACAGAGAGAGTAGTGGTGCCCATATTTCTCAGAGTGAGGTTATTTTGTGACTATAATTACTATGTGCCACCTAATAGCAGAATTTGCAATCACCATTTAACTAGTAATTCTTGGGAGTTGTTAGCAACTTCACTTGAAAATCCAATACAAACATTTAATGCTTCGCAAATTGAAGATTTCGCATCCCTACTGAAAAACAATATGACTGTCAATTTAGATTTTGAAAATATTGATGGGATGTCTGACCATTTAGTCCATTATTGGCTGGGATTTTCGAAAGAGCAATTTAGGCACTTGCTTGCAGAATTGCCACGATTATCTTCAAAACATAGAGGCGCTTTTGCCCTTGCGGCGTATCTTTTAAAACTGCGAACTGGTGATAGCGATGAACGTATTGCTTCTCTTCTGCAAACACCTCGCAGTACACTGGAGCGACTGATGGGTATGGCAAGAGAAATTATTCACCAAGATTTTGTTCCCAGGAATTTGGGGATTAATCATATTAGTAGAGCTGAAATAGCAAGAAGAAACCTTTTAATACCAAATGGTTTGTTTGGAGGCGATGATAGAAAACCTATTGTCATAGCGGATGGCACTTATATTTATGTGCAGAAAAGCTCAAATTATCTGTACCAAAAACAAACTTATTCGTTACATAAGTACAGGAACCTAATTAAACCATTTATACTTGTATGTTCTGATGGATACATTGTAGATGTGTTAGGCCCCTATCCAGCGACTACCACAGATGCAAATATTATAAATCACGAGTTTAATCAAGATACAAGTCCGTTCAGGGAATACTTTCAACCAGGTGATGTTTTCATATTGGATAGAGGGTTTAGGGATTCAATCCCTCTTCTAGAGAGATGTGGTTATCGTGTATGTGTGCCATCATCCCTAGAAGAGGGTGAAACCCAACTATCGTCAATTGAAGCAAATAAAACCCGTACTGTCACAATTTGTCGATGGGTAGTAGAGGTGGTGAATGGTATATTCAAACAATCGTTTAAAATATTTCGTCAATCATTTTTCACCAATGCTTCAAGGCATGTAATGATTGATTTTTCAATAGCTGCCTCTCTAATAAATAGGTTTCACACTCGAATCTCTGATAGAGAAGATGCAGCCCAAATTCTGGACATAATACACCAAAATCTTTATACAAATAATGATTTGGCTGATCTTGTCCATCAGAGACATTTAAATAGAATGAGAGCAGATTTTGTTAACATAAATGTAAATAATGAAAACATTACTGGCTTTCCTCAACTCACCTACAGTGAACTTATTTTAATTGCTTGTGGAACGTATCAGCTCAAACAAGCCCGTTCATATTACGGTGAACATATTAGGTTGAATGGTTCCTATACTATAGAAGTTTGTCGAAACAGGAGCAATAACATACTGGAAGGCCTGAATTCAGCAGAAAATTGTATGCTTTTAAGAGCAAAAATACAAAGCCGACATGTTAGTCGTAAAACATATTTTATTTATATTTTAATAAATGCAAACGAAACTGGTAGAAATGCAATAAAACAATATTGCTGCAACTGCATTGTGGGCCGAAGAACAGTAGGTTGTTGTGCACATGTTATGACGATTATTTGGTATCTAAGCTGGGGCAGATATCAATCAAATATTTCACCTCCTGCCCAGTTTTTGGACGACGTTTTAGTAACGTACGAATCGGAATATGATCTGACATAATATTATAATAATAAAAATTTTTAATAATATTTTGCCGACTTTTTGTTAAACCCTTTTGACCGTAATAGGTTTATAACAGTCTATTACATCATTTCCTCTATCATATATTTGTGTCCATGGTGGGCCTGAATTACTATGGCCCTTGGGCATTGCCCTTTCTCCTAATTCAATAAATTGAAGTATTTAAATCTTACAGGTGCGATCGGGCTTGTTCCACTGTGGCTTCTGCAATCTAATCGTTGGAGTATGGGAGAATGTGTCAGTTCACCTGCAGTGCGACGACCATGTAAAAAACAAGATAGTAGCTGGCCTCTACCTTAGAGAATACCTACCTCAAATATTGGAGGCTCAATGGCGGAGACAACTTGATTTCAATTTACTCGTAGCGAGTTTATCCTCGCATCACCGACAGAGAGGAACATATTCGAGATTCATGCGTGGACATATGTTTTAGGTATTACTTGTATTATTTTTTCCCTTTAAATTTTTTTCCCTATTCCATTTACATTCTTATTTCATTGTGTTAAGTGAGGTATTTCGACGTGTTTAATCATAGTGTAAACATGCATGATCAATGTGTGAACTAAAACATGCAGAATAGACACTGATACTAGTAAAATGTAAGTCTAGATTTAAGTGGCAACAGTGTTGCTATTTCACCCAACGCCGTGAAGTTAGCTAAGGGTCAATTTGCACTGAAAGAGCAGCGGCGGAGGAGCATTTTTGGTCCAAAGTAAAACTTAGAATTTTGAATCTTCTAAAGAAAAAAAAAATTAAATTGATTTGAAGTTATAGAATAGGCACCGCGAGCAGAAGCGAGGTCGCGCGAGACTTGCAGCGACTAGTTCAAAGAGGCACCGTGCTAGCTCCGGCCGTTTTCAGTGTGACTTGACCCTACTCTCGAAGCATGAAATCCGTGATTACGGCCGTTTTTCCACTATGGATGACCTTACGTAACTACTCTCGAAGACCGTCGTTCATTCGTTCATTCATATATATATGTATGAACTATATATATATATTAATAATGAAATATATATTAATATATATATATGAACATATATTCTTGGTTCTAGCCTCGATCGAAACTCAAGTTTCTAGGTCATCCATAGTGGGAAAGTGGCCGTAATTTCGTCCTTCGAGAGTAGGGGCCTGGTCCGCATGACCGCGTCGTCAAAACTATGCTGCAGCAAGTAGTTCGATGTCATTATCTTAACGCTGATGCGATATTACGTAAGCGATATGATTTTTGTGTTTGGCGACTTCTCAATTATTGAGTGAAATACTATTATAGTATTTCTAACACTTTTTCGCAGTGTATGAAAGCACATTGAACGTCTATTAAAGCAAAGCGTTCCAGTTAAGAATGATCGTTTTATATAATTATACAGGTTGTTTGTAAAATTCTAACAACCACGGTGTTTTGTAGGTAGAGCGCGGCGTAAGCAATAGTTCGAAAAAATTTTCAGGGTTGCATGTTTTAAATTTTAACAACTCCAAATTTACGTCCTGTATTTAAATTCTATTTTGGATTTAATTATGTTTAAGTTTTAAAAGTGGACGTAAATATTTTAAAACAGTGGCGTAAACGTAAAATATGTTTCCCTGAATTTTTTTTCGAAAGTCGCTTAAGCCCTTTCTACAAAATACCTGATGTTAGTTATTCCAAGACCCTTAACAAAACATAATTAGTTAAAACAAACTTTCAAGATTTTCGTGTACTATCTGGCACTTTTTACACAGATCTGTATTTGGTAGTAATGTAACAGGCGTCCTCCCCAACGTTTCCATCCCCGCTCCTGTGTTATGCGTCGGACTAGTATTTATGCTAGCGCTTTCTTTTATTACCGCACAGAGTTATCACCGTTTAGAGTGATCTGTAAATAGATATATTTTTGTACGAAGCAAGTCATGGAAAATTTATTAAGTTGTGGTTTATGATGTTAGTTATACGAGTAGTCTTAGTACTTTATAAATAACCTGTATTTCGCTTCTTTTCATAACCGCTAAAGTATTTTAATAACCGGCAATTTATCTCACCATCGTACTGGGTCTTTAATAGTTTGGCAGTTTTTCAACCCTGACGTTGGCTAAATCGTCGCGAAAAGCTTGAACTTGAAGTATAATTGCTCAAATCAAAATAGTTAATATTTTTACATAAGTATTATAAAGCTGTATTCAGAATGTGATAAATAGTATTGTGAATAAGACACCGAGGTTTTAATCGGTTAAAGTAATCACGTGACTCTACGTCGATGGATAATTTTGTCTAAATAAATCGATTCGAAATCGATTGTCATTTAATCGAAATATCATAGGAGTAAAACGTTAGACGATACTATAAATACGTCATTTTATTAATGCTATAATGTATCTAGTACTATCAACTGATAAACTGTAATAGAATTTTCCTCGATCATTTAAATACGAGGTCTGTCCGAAAGTTACTAACTATTAATCATAATCCTGTTCGTAGCATCGTTCAAAGTAATTTCCATTCCACTGAACAACTCGCTCCCGCCGGTGCTTCCACACCCCGAAACAGTTATGGAAGTCAGATTTCGGAATAGCCCTCAGGGCACTAGTCGCTTTTCTTTATCGTCTCTCTGTCGTCAAACCGACGCCGCTTGAGCGGAATTTTCAATCTTGGAAATAGCCAATATCGCAGGGGGCTACTTCGGGACTCGCATAGTCCCGAAGTAGCCCCGAAGTAGGGTTGGCGTAGTTGAATGAATAATATGTTTTGCAAAAACTGTTGGACAAGGTTCGATAAAGGCGCTGGCGCATTATGGCGAACGCATTTTTGGGCGAGTAGCGATTGCTTAATCGCTGTACGCCCAAAAATGCGTCCGTTTTCTTCACACTGCGTCACGCAATCTTTTCAGAACCTCACCGCAAAATTCTTTGTCGATCGTCCAACCTCTTGGAGTACATTCATGATGCACCATGTTTCCAAGATTGAATAAAAAATAAAATCCCTTTAAAGGCCTAACATATAGTAGTGCATTAGTCTTGCATTAAAATAAAGTAATATAATTTAACAAAATCCAGACTTTATTTAAAATAATAACAGATTTCCATAATACATTTTTGCTTTGTAAACAGTAGGACGTTCGGTAACTTTCATTTGATAACTGTGTTCTAAATAACGTTTGCAGCTTTTGCCGGGCGAGAAGTTCGAGTAATCGTGCGGTTGTGATGTCATTTCGGTTCGGTTTCGAATACGACAGTTTGACGTTCGATTCGGGTGTTGTGAATAAAAATGAAAATAAATCGGTCGACAACTGAGTTATCGTAAGGTTCTGAATCGACCCCCTGCATCGGGATATGGAATCACCGATGAGAACTTGCTGTTTAGTAGAATAAAAATTACTTTAAAAGATGCCACGAGCCGCATTATGGTTAATAAGCCCAGCGCGGAATAACGTTAGAAGGTCTGATACTAATTTGGGACAGACCTCTTGTCTATGATCAATGCCGATGGAAGTATGTAAGAATAGTATACGTTAGATTTAGAAAAATAAGCTTAGATCCAAGATACTTACATTTATTTTTAGTTGAACATAGCATTGTATAGTGGTTCAATGAGATGTAGCATTGAACCCGTACTTCAGTGTATCAAACACGGTACAAATAATCGACGTGTTGATACAAATAGTCGATGAATCGTTGTAGGTCAAGTGTTATTAGATGAAACTTGTACCCACAAAATTCCGCTTGTTCTTGTTTGTTTGTGCCAAATTACAGAATACAAATTCTGTTATGTCTAATCATTCCATAGTAATAGTAAGGTAAATGTGTTATGATTCCACGGTAATAATAAGGTAATAAGAATTGTCTATCAATTAAAATAATATATTAAGTGCATACGTTATAAAAATATGTGGACATTTTGTTATAAGAAATGCGTGCCAAAACATTTGTGATTTAGTAAGTTAGTGCCAAAACATTGGTGATTTAAATATTAAGTGCCAAATTTTTATAACTAATTTTAAACCAAAAAAGTAAAGTGCATTTATTCAAATAAATTATGATTATTTAAATGTTGAGTATTTTATTTTTGCTATGTTAAAACTTAAAGGCTGTTTGTGTAAAGTTACTTTTTAATTGGATTTCAAATTTTGTTTTGTTAATTGTTTATTATTATTTTGGATGTCATTTTAGACTCTCCCTTGGCCTAGAAGATTAATTCTGAATTTTTAAATGAGAGAGACAATATTCCCCAGCAATGGTACAGTCGACCGCGGTCAGGGACTCAGGTTCAACAACCGGCGAACAATACGCGCCGTGTCGAGCAGGACCACTTTAGTATTATTATTTATTTTTCTTATTACTAAGATGACTTCATTTAAAGGTCTATGCAGCCCTTCATCACTGCGACAATTAACTGATCGATTGCGATAACCACTAATTACACATCGGAGTTAAAGAACTAAAGGATCTTCCTTTCTTTGACAAGACAAGTATGGTTACTCCATATAAAGTAACAGCGCATATTGTATGCGACACGCGGCGGCGGCGGCGGGTGCAAACACACAAACCACGCTGCTACGTTTGTGTGGAGTTACCATACTTGTCTTATATTATGGTTTTGACATCTGGTTGTTGTTTGTGCTTTCCCAGTATGGAGCTTCGTACGTCCATTAAGACTCAATTTCACCTCTCTACGCGCTAAGTACGCACGCGATCGCTAGAGTGCTCGAGCAACTGCGTCCGTGGTCGAACGGTTACCATTGTTACGACTGCCACGCAGAAATCCCAGGTTCGATTCCCAGGCCGGGAGAAACATTTGTATGACCTACATTTTCTATGTGTGTGTTCATGGTACTCGCGACACAGGGTTTCCCTAGTGCGGGGCTATGTTGAGTGTGTGCGTTATTATTATTCGCGACATTTCCCGCGACAGCGACTTGAGGCTGTAGTATTTTGTTGACGTAACACCGCGCCTGCCTTCACTCCACTTCCAGCGGGTTCGCTAGGTGTCGCCTATTTTAGGCAGCGGCGGAAATTCCTATACGAATGCGCGAGCATTCCCAAGCATACGCGCGACTTGTTTTTTATCTCGTATCTAGTTTGTTACTTAGCGTTACACGATTGACATAATGTTCATTTTGCTATACAGTGTGTTAGTTTGCATTCTCGCCATATTTAAGAAATTAATAATAGAAATAATGCTAAATCATCTAAAAATATTTAAAAAAATATTCTGTTCAATATTCTGGCTAATTGTATTACAAACTTGTATTGTACAAATTGTATAACAAAGCTTAGTAAAATTGTCCCCAAGTGTATGACCCCGCCACTCGCTTCACCGAGCCATACGTAATCTTTCTCGATCGCTTATTTACCTATTTTTTATATTATGTTTACATTAGTTAGAAAAGGTGACTGAAAAAAGATTTTTTGTAATTTAGTTTTAGTACTTACTTTAGGTTATATGAAAGTAGTGTTAGAAGTACCTAGCTCTAAAAAAATCACTAAAAAAATTAATCGCAAAAAATACAATGACCTCTGTAAATATGCAAACACATTATATAGGGTAGGGTGGTCGACGATGAACCACCTAAATATCCAAGAGCTGCAACTGCGGCCACTGATCGTCGCTTACCATCTGCGATTTGGAATAATATCGCTCCATAGCCCTCAGCACTCGCGTCCGTATGGAGCTCTGTTGGGTACTGTGGATCGAAAATCATCAGCACTACTTAATTGGTCAAGATATCGATCACCTGCTGTCGTATTTCCTCGCATTTGGGCGTCCAATCGAATGAGGCGAGAAAAGTTTGGCACAAACTGGCGAAAGAAAATAAGCAGCTAAACCTACACAAATTGTCTCGCTTGTGTTATCGAAAGCGGTGAAGGCAATGACTATAGAGCTTTTACCTCCCGCTTATTCGGCTTGACCTCTCCCGCTTCTTCTTCATACCCTAAGAATTATACGCGTGTCTTAGAAAAGAACATTTCTTAAGATTCAGCGAAAATCCAGCATTAGGGAGCCTATCAAGCACAACCTGCAGTATCTCGTCTCGGATATGATCAAGATGTCATCGACATACACGACTACGAACCTATACTGGTTAGTGAGGTCACCTAGGGTATTTATGATTGCGCGTTGGAAAACAGAAATTGCGTTACGGAGGCCAAATCATAATCAAAAATTCATATTGCACATTGGGTGTGATGATCGCAGTATGCTCAATTGACTCCGTCTTTACAGGTATTAAATTATTCTACAAGATGAACTATTGTGACATTTGGACGTGTATAAAATATTCTTCTCAAACACAAGCACTTCCTATTATCACATTGCTTTGTGCACCTACACTTAATAAATTTTATACATTGCCTAATGCACGTTCGGCATTGTATAGAATACCTAGACCAAATGTATAGTTGAGTTTATTTCATACATTGCCCGACTGTTTTAGGCAGTGTACAGAATATCTAGGTATTGCATACAATGCCGGATTACATGTACATTACCGATAACAAATAATGATAAAAAATAACACTTAATATATTACACTACCCGATATAAAGGGTTCTAAGTCGTCGCTCTAATTTGGGCTCCTAACTTTTGTAACATCTCCCTAAATAAGAACGTTTATTACACTCCACATTTCAACGGTCCTGAATCAAGGGTGCGCGTGGGGATTTAGGGCGCTCGCAAATCTTCAAGATTCGATTAAGCATTAAGCATTAGGCTGCCTTCCACCGGAGACATGCAAGGTAGTAAAGCGTGCTTGAGAGTGCCTATGAGTGTCTGCGAGTGCGTGCGAGCGCCTGCGTGTTGCACGGGCGTCCAATGCGTGCGAGTGTCTATGAGTGCCTGCGAGTGCGTGTCAGCGGCTGTGAGTGCCAGCGAATAACCATTTCCATTCAAAATCAATTTTTGATCAATAATTAAAAACTATAGTGATGTAACTAAAGTAACTTATTGAAAGCTAAATTGATATCAATAATGAAATTACTTTTACAATGAAAAATTTTAAATATCTACCTACTGGAAATTATTCCGGGTAAATTCCCGAAAAATTGGAAAAACGTAATTTGGATTGGAAGGCTCATGTTCTACATTTAGAATATCTTTTGGAGTTTTATTTAGCGTGAATTATAAAATAAACTTGTATAGCTAAAAGCCACCTACAGAAAATTATTATTAATTATTTGAAAGAAAAAAAAACGAGATTTTTTTAAATGGTTCAATCGTTATCGTTCAGTAACTTCAACTTTTGACAGGTATCAACATCAAATGTGGAAAAATATCCGGAAGCATAGTTATTTTTCAGAAAAATATGTTCTTTTCTAAATGGAAATTTTTGTATGACTCAATACCGCGTGAGGCAGCCTTTGTTTACTGCATCAAAACATCAGTAGTGTAGGTTTTAGTTTATGGAATTTAAACTGTATTTAATTTTCTTTATGCCACAGCCGTTAAATCTCTGCAAACAAAAAATATCGATGCAACACTGGCAAGAGGCAAAAGACTCTATTAACAAAAGGCACTTGGTATCATAATATAAACTCTGAAATTATACTGCAGTGGTTTGTGAAAAGAAGATATATTCATAGAAAGTTCTATGAAACTATTTGCAGATTACGTCTTGGTCATGGACGTTACATTCATATATTTTTCGATTCCCACATTTTTTTATCGCTAGAATCGTTATCTTTCTTGAACTATACAAAACCCCTGAAAACATCTCGCTGTCTCTACCAGATCTCTTGAAAAATTAAGAATTGTATTATTCCGTAAGAAGCACTATCGAAGACATTTAATTCTTGTAATGGAATACAAGAAAGAGACTACTCTCAGTCTTGGCTGTATGACGCATTAGTTAGTGCCTTTGCCTTTTCCAATGGAAAAAACAATACCAAAAACTTCAGTTCTTTTTCTTCTACTTGTCTAGTGTCTACAGTTATCTGTGTTATATTAGGTTATTTCTCAAACCCTACCTAATTATTGTGCAGTTTCTTGATCTTCAAGTTATTTTCTTACAATCAGGAAAGTTTAAGTGTTGTGGCGTCTTTTGTTCTCGCTGTGCTTAACAGCTTTATTCATAAACTAATGGTAAATATTTTATGCTTATCTCTAAGCTCATTTATTTCTACTTTTAGTCACTATATCTTTTTAATTTGAGCTTATAAGGTAATGTTCTTTAAATTAATTTAGATAGGACAAGTTCTATTTAAATAAAAACTTGCAAAAAAACTTATAGGTTATGATGATTCGCCGACTTTCAGTTTAGTTACACGAATCCAATTACTGTCCTAACTCAAAATTGTGGAATTGACAAAACACTTATTTGAAAACAAAAAAAATTTAATGAAACTAATAGTTTTAAATCGCTTTGTTAATACAATACTGTATTCACTCAAAAAGTGGATTTTTTTCAGAATCAATGTAAAACGCATTCTTCACTTCCCATAAAAGATTGTTAAATAATAAATATTTTGAGTTTTACAACACTATTGTAATAGTAGTGCGGAGTATTATTAAATATTATGTATAAATAAAAATATATAATAACATTGTTCACAATAAGATCCATTCAGTATTTTTTTTTTAATTTTTGAGCTGTGTTTTCTCAATTCCACAATTTGAGTTATTCTTGCAATTAAATTTGTGAATGACACAATGAAAAAATGGCCCTCACACACATGCAAACAATTTATATGCTATGTGTAGGTGTATGACATTATTTTGTTTTGTGGTTGGATAAACGCCACCCCTAGCTCTTTTACCTTTCTATATCTCCTCCAGCATTTCTTTTTTAATTATGAATTCGCTTTACAGACAATGGAGTCAAAGCTTCACCAAAATGCTATTCTCACTGGGTATGTGGATGCATACTGCTTAATCTGCGAGAGTTTGCATAGAGCAGAGGACATCTTTAATCATATTGACAAGCCGATTCATAAGAAGAATCTTGATGCTGCTCCTTATGTTACAAAATATAAGGATGAATTTATACGAAAGGTTGGCATTTTCATATACACTAGTGGCTGAATGAGATCGTCTGAAATGTACTAAAAATATATAGCAGAGTAGAAAAAAATTTATTTTTAACCAACTTCAAAAAAGGAGGAGTTTCTTAATTCGATTGTATGTTTTTTATGTATGTTACTCGATAACTCTGGAATTTGTGAACCGATTTTGATGATTCCTTTATTGTTCGAAAGAGGGTACCTCAGTAGTAGTCCCATTTCTATTTGAAGAAAATATTCCACATCTAAGAATGACAAACTAGGGGATGAATGACTTTTGAGGTCAGTTTTTTTTGATACTCTGCACTGATTTAGTTTTAACTTATATTTTAGAATAACAGTTACAGAATTCAACACAGTTAACCTGTTTCATGTTTTTTTTAAATGGACATCATGATGTCTGCAATAAAATGCTTACATCTGTTTATGCAATGCAATAAGTTATTATCACAACTACAATTTCATTGAACATGTACCAAATTAAAGTAAAAGAGGTATAATGTATTTATTGACACTTTTTTGTCAATAAATACATGTTTGCTTTAGCCATGTTTTCGCCGTCCCGGTGGGACTTGGACCCACGACCGTGCTGCATTGTTGCATTGCTCTAACCATCTGAGTCACGGGTCCAGTTACCGAGTCGTCGAAAGACTTGACGACGCTATAACAAAAACACAGAAGAGTTTAAAACCGCTAGGGCCCATTGAAAACCAGCATCACAGCCTAGTCTTGGCTGTGACTTTGGCAGAATGGGATCCTTTTGTACACGCCACTACCGCACACATTTCAGTATAGTATTATGTAACTTGTTGTTTAAATGTTATTATGCTGTTATTTTGTGTTATTTCTGTTTTTTTTTATTTTTTTATGTGTTTTTTTATAATGTGGTGACGCAATAAATGGTTTGTATTTCTATTAATTTCGACGATCCGAGGTATAACCTAAACAAAATTTATTTATTGACTGTTATGAGATGGATTGAGTCTTTATTTTATTCTTTATTTGCCTGCAGCTCTACAGGATCTAAGTAAGTCTGATTCCACCAATTTTTATACTTTCTTTCTGAATGCATCCATCATCATCTGCACTTCTAAAAGGATGCATCATAAAACGGGCTGAATAATTTCCAAAGATGACTTGGAAAAATACATTGTTAATGGATTTTAAATTATTCATATTATCTAACCATAATAGCTCAATTTGTTAATTATGTTTGATACAGTGAAGAGCACACTAGACTTTACACATAAGATTTAAATTCAACCAATTATGCCACTTATGGTAAAAATGGTCCAGACTGATTGTAGCTGTTTTCTGACTGTTCTGATGGCGATAAGAATATTAGATTATTACAGTCTTAGTCTTTAGATACATAGTGAAAAAACAATTCAATTTAATTCAACAATGTATTTTAATAAACTGTTGTGTATTTTTAACTGCTTTAAGGGAGATAATTGCACTAACCGTTTCATTCAATTAACTTTAATTATTTTATTGATTTCATAAAATGGTTTGCAAGAAAAAAATATTATTTGGCACTACTGTATATTATATATTTTTTCTGCACTCTTTATTAAAACCCTTAAATGGAAAGTCCCATTAGTGGGATGATTCTTCTCTGAAAATATTTTGTTAGAATGCTTTCTCCGTTTTGAAAGTAATTTTGTCTTGTCTGACCTCGTTTTTCAGACCCTGTTGCAATTATAGCTAGAACTTTGTCGATTTCTTTTCAATTTACATATCAAACACTAGAACAACTCCTTTTAACATCAAGAATGTCTATTCCAGGTAAAGAAAGGTTATTACTGTGAACTCTGCAATATTGTCTTCACAACAGCAACTAAAGTCAACTTACACATTGCCAAAGCAACCCATATACAAAACAAAGGTGCTCCAGTTCTGAAACGCATTGGAAATTCTGTAATAGCGATAAACGACATTTGTATAAACGAGAAAGCGTGGAATGGTTTGATTGAAGACATTTGCGCATTGTGCAATTTAGAGTTTTGTGATGAGAACATCCATAAGACAGAAGAAAACCATATACTGAACTTGATACAGAAGAAAGTACAGTTTCTTGATAAAAAGGCTGTTTATAGGATGGTGGGTATTCTGTTTAGATATTTACTTGCGGTGCTTATCAGCACAACAGCAAGTTCAGCTTTACACTTCAGGCTTTCATTTAACTCTATAGGTACTTTTTTTATAAGTACAGTCTTAAAAGCCCTACGTGTATACCTGGGTATGCTGTTGCCTGTTTTTTTTAAGTTACCAAGTGATGGGACTAACAAGTTGCGAGCCGGTTGGTAAGCGACACGCCTGTCCGTAACAGTTGCAGTGCCACTCAGAGCTTAGGATCGCAAAACCAAAAAAATTGTCCTGCAAATCAGTATTGAATTAAAAGGATATTAAAATTTCAGGTTGATAATGAATCTTTTCAATGTCTAACATGCAACATGATATTTGCTCAAAGCGCGATTGAAACTCATTTCAACGAAGATAATCACAAGAATATATTCCAAAAATGTCGAGAAGGAAAATCTGAGCCACCAATTATTGTGCAACAAAGTGACGAAAAAGCTCTTAAAATACTAGAGCATGTACAAGAAGTTAAAAATACAAATCTTAATGATACACCGAAGGAAATTCCCAATAAGTCAACACTTATAATACCTAACACACAAACAGAACAGAAATCCGGTAATAATAATACAAAAACCAATAAAAGTGAATCTAAATATGAAAGCAAAACGAATGTAAATGCAACAGCGACGATGGAGGAAGCGACGGGACATATTATGAAACCTAGTTTTGATCAAGACCACAATGAAGAAAAAACCGAGAATATTACACAAAATTTGCCAGAAGTCTCAAGACACTTCGATCAGTCTCTTGAGGCAAGCCTAATAGGCAGTCCAAAAGCAACATCCTCAAGAAAAGGAATAAATGATCTAGCTGAATTTGCTAATGAACACAATCTGACATACAATGAAGGTAATGACAATGTATTTTGTCGTATATGCAATGTACGATTACCAGCGTCCTTAAAAAGTATGAAGGAACATGTGAATGGTATAAATCATACAAATAAAGTAAAAGAGAAGATGCTAAATATTCCAAAGAATAAAGCCATTTCAAAGTATAGAACCATTCCAATGAATAAGTTTGTCAAACAGTTGTGTGGATTTAAGGGTCAATTTGTTGATCATGTGGTTGTGAATAACGAATATTGTTTGACAGCGATCAGTTATTCAATGGTTACGCTAACGACCACGCAACGCTGTCAGGTTTGCGATATGCATCTCAATAATTCGGAAGAACATTTGTACTCTTTAAGTCATATAAATGCTTTGGAAATTACACCAGTTGTGCGGGGTTTGGATGGGGAGTTTGTTAGGGAGGTGAGTAAATTAAGACTAGTATTTATTTGTATACAAAACAAAAATCCCATTAAGTACCATTATAATTTTTTTTATATGGACATCAAAAGTGTCTAGGGCTAAGCACCTTATTACCAATTATTGAAATTCAAGTGCTTTTTAATTGTTTTTTTTAACACGGATGAATTTTTTAAATTAAATTTTATAATTTGAATTTGACCAAAAAAATCCATTGGTGTTAAAACCGGATTTTCAGTAATTAGCAAAAACGTACTTGATCCCTATACACTTGATGGATTACAAGTAAACAGCTATACTGCGATAACTTGCGTTTGAATATGTTAGGTTTTTTTTTGGTACTTTTTTATACTTAGCAGTTCGATATTATTTGATTGAAACCCAAAATATAGAGAAACTTGGAATGTTATGCCCTTAATACAATAAATTACATATTAAACTACCCATACTTTGCAGGTGCGTCCTGGCCTCTTCCATTGTGGATTCTGCAATCTAATAGTTGAAGGATGGGACAATGTGTTAGTTCACCTGCATTGCGACGAACATATTAAAAGCAAGTCACTTGCTCGCTATTGTCTCAAGGAATTATTTCCTGACATAATGAAGCATTAAGAGACGATTTGATTTCAAGTTACTTCTCGTAACAACGGCAAGGTTCGACATTTTCTTTTCATGATTTCTGTATGGAGATAGTTTTAGGTTTATTACTTTGAATTATTTTATTCTCAAGTTCCTTCGTTTTCGCGATTGTTAGACATAGGAAATGAAACTATTTTTCCGGATTTAAATCGCGGTACCGGAACACAAGGTCCTATGGGACTGGTTGGTGGTAGTCAACCGTGACCATGGGACCTGTAAAGTTTGTTTGAAAAAACAGGTCCGAAAAAGTAGTTTCATTTCCTATTTTATTCTTTTTAAATTTTTTGTAAATCACATTTTGGTGCATCCTTATTTCAGTGTGCTAGGTGATTTTCGGTATGTTAATCATATTGTACTTAAACATAAATTATTATTATTAATAGACTGATATTAGTAAAATGTTATGTGTGCTATGGAATTGCATGATTGAATTCTGCCTTCCCTTTCCCATCAACAGGGGACTAGACGTAGGCTTGGGTTCCATATTGTGCATATTTCAAGGATTCGCACAGTCGCAGGAAGCGACTTATTTCGCAAACACTGTGAATTGGGCCTTTTCAAGGCGAGAGTGAATAGGCAGTATTTGACATCTCAACACTCCATCGTCACTTCCTATCAGTTGAGATGGCAACAGTGTTGCTATTACACCTCCGTGAAACTTCATGATCAAATACTGAAATTCACACTACCAGCTAACAGCTAGTAGTGCGAATTTCAGGATTTGAGCATAGACCATGTTACGTTACAACGCCGCGATTGAAACAGTAATGTCGATGCCTTACTTTCTCAAGCTCGTATCTTATAAAGACTGATTGCTCAGGAGATTTCAAAACCTTTCTATTTATTTTAAATTTCTTATCAAGGGTGTTAAATAGGATGCATTACTTTAAGAATAGGCAAGAGCCAGTGTGTGAATATGAAGGAAATGTGATATCAGCCTGCAACATTTGTATGTACAATCCATTCTTTGCATTTCAGAAAATTTGTGTTTTAAAATACGAGTTTGAGAAAGAAAGGCGATGATGTGCTAGCCATATGACCGCGATATCAATGTGATGTTACAGCAACAAGTACACTCGCAAAATATGATATTCGCTTCTAGTTGCCGGCTGCTTTTATCCGACATAAGACACACATTTGCGCGGCGCCTTAACTTTGACGCAATATTTATTACGTTTCAACGATATGTTTCTTGCGTATGGTGACTTCTAGAGTTATTCGAGGTCCTTTGATACAGTCTGAAGCTTAGTGAAGGTATAGTCGACGTCAAAACGAACCGAGAATTTTAACCAATAAGTCATTTCATATTACCCGTATTCAATGTAAATAGTGTATTTATTGAAAATATTATTGTAAGAGGGTATTCGTTGGCTGCACTCGCCCGTCGTATATAAGTTTATTATAATATGGGTACCTATACTGCCCTCCTCGTCATAACAGTATAATGCATTTTGCTAACTTTCGAAATATTGGCGACTTTTATTTTTCTTTGAAAAATGTCAATTGCGCTGATTTTGCTTAATAATAAAACTGAAACGAAATGAGATATAAAAACCGTTTATAGGGGGTTTTATATCTCATTTCGCTGTTTCTAGATTTGTTATAACTCAATTTTGCTAAAAAAATGTCGTTACGTTAGTTATGATAGGGGGGCACTAGACTTACATTACTGTTATTTGTTATAATTTTAATGTTGTACAATAAAAAAATATCATCATTACTTTTTTTAAATTACACCGTAAGTCCTATACCATTTCGAGCATGTTTGGAGTATCCACAATGCATGCCTTATCGATGCCTTACTTTCTCAAACTCGTATCTTAAAAAGAGTAATTATTCAGGAGATGGAAAAACTTAGTATTTATTTTTAATTTCTTATCAAGGGTATTAATTTGCATGCATTACTTTAAGAATAGGCAAAAGCCAGTGTGTGAATGTGAAGGAAATGTGATGTGAAATCAACCTGCAACATTTGTATATCAATTTTTAACATTTCAGTAACTTTGTGCTTTAAGATACGAGTTTGTGAAAGTAAGGCGACGTTATTCCATTATATTTCAGATCACGATTGCATCTAGAAAAAGTCGTGAAGACATTGCGGCTATAGTTGATCAAATATGCTTCGATGTATCAAACACTACAAATTGAAGTATTCAATTAATAATCGAGGAATCGTTGACTGTCGTAGATAGTATAATTGTACAGGTTAAACTTACATTAAAATGTAGATAATCTACACACTCGTGCTTACACCAGAGGGCTCCGTCACTCGCTTGACATTACGTGTTAAGTGCCTACCGCTGATTGCACGCGGCGGTCAACGTCATTTTCACCTCTCTGAGCGCGTCCTTAAGTTTTCTTTTTCCTCGTAGTGAGCGCTTGGTCTCAGTCCACAGACATATATCTAGATAGACGCCGCAAGTGAAATTCACTTACTTGCCGCTGCTACACTTCAGAACGTGCTCGACCGTTATAGTAGATAAACACCAGTCGAAAACGCGAAAAATGCATAATTGTGCCATTATAAACTGCAAAAGCACCATAACTGTGGCTAAACGGTTATAACAAATATGCAACCCAGTGTATGTCTAATGATTTGTAATACATTACGGCTTTTACTTGGTGCGATATATGTTGTGATCCTTTGTTAATAGGCCATGAATATCGAACGAACGCACTTTTACATAATGCATTCAGTTTCTGTGGTACGGCCGCTTGTACATTGTTTTGGCCAAATTTAACATTTAGGGTCGTATTCCAGAACTCTACTTAATGCTCAAGTCAGGACTTGAGCAGACTTGAGTATGATTTCAAGCACTGGAAATACGACCCTAACGGCAAGGACTTGAGTATGATTTTCAGTGCTCACTGCAATACTCAAGTCTAAGGGTCGTATTCTAGAACTCTATTCAATGCTCAAGTCAGGATTGCACTGGCAACACAAGCACTGGAAATACGACCCTAATGGCAGGGACTTGAGTATGATATCAAGTGCTTTAAACCATACTCAAATCCTAACTTGAGAGAACAATACTCAAGTCAGGATTTGAGTATGGTTTAAAGCACTCGAAATCATACTCAAGTCCCTGCCATTAGGGTCGTATTTCCAGTGCAATCCTGACTTGAGCATTGAGTAGAGTTCTAGAATACGACTCTGAGTGATATATACGTTAGGCAACACTGTTTTCGATTCTGATCGATTTTGAAAACAAAGGGACGGAAATTATTATGACCTTAACAATATTATAAAAATATTCTATGACTCTTTTGTTATAACGTTTCGTTTTTTTTTTTTCAGTTTTTGTAATATCTATTATCAGTAGTATCCGTAATTTCGATAATTTTTGCAGCACGTCGCCTCGAATGTCCGAATACTTTGAGCAAATAATTACTTATTAATTATTACTATTATTTAAATATTACGAGTAATACAAAACAACATATAATGCAAAGAATTAACTGCCAGCATTAAAACTGCATAAAAACTTTTTCTTTAATAAAACAATATTTTTATATTCTAGATCTTTCAAAATAAAAATTCAAGGTGGCTCGAAAGTTGTGTCCGGGAGTGTATAGTAAGCTCATTTTACTGGAAGAACAACAATTTTAATATTTGGAATATAAAGTAATGTTTGAATTTTTTTTAAAGTAAAATAAACGACTGAACTGCCTTATTCTAGTATTTTTCTACTATATTAATATTACGATATTGTAATCAACAAATACTTGAACAAAAATTATTCTATTTAGAATCGATTAATTGAATGGAATACGCGTGTTTACGCGTTTTCCATCGAATTCAATCGATTTAGCACGGAAGGAGATTTCCCATCAATAAATAGTTCTTGTGACGTCATGGTGGATACATAAAATGTGTCACGCTCGGTTTTCATACAAATTGCTGTACTTGCGGCGTCTGTCTAGATATATGTCTGGGTCTCAGTCAGATTTAGTAGGCTATTATAGGGTAGGTATTTTCGATTTTGTATGAAAGTGACGTATCTTTTACATAGTAATTACATATTAAGTTTAGTAATCTGTACTTACACTCCTTGTTTTGTCAGTGCCGAATTACAGAATTTGTGCCATGAGAGAAATGATTCCATAGCCCTCAGTAATGAGAGTAATCTTGCGATGAATATTAACAGAAACAAAGGAAAAGTGGCACTTGTCATAAAAATGCTTAATGTTAAAATAAAAAACAATGATAAATCAATTAATCACCAGATTTAGTAAATTAGTATCAAATATTTACAATTTTGATGAAACGTCTATGGTCAATTGTTCCATACTTCCTACCGCGGTTTAAAGTTTAAAATGAAATTCGTTAATAAATTCTAAATACATACATCTATACAATAAGCATCACCCTGTTTCTGGGACAGTCTAGTTAAAAATGTTAAAACTGGTACTTGCTAGACCAGCGCCATCTCGTGGCTTTTAAAATTGTTAGATCGGTTTTTTCACGGAAGTTATGTGGTCTGTGGGTTTTTATTCCGAATCACGGGATACTTTGAAGTATCGTTACCTCATTGTCACTTTCCATCAGGTGAGATGGAGGTCAAATGCGCACTTATATTTTATAAAAAAATAAAGTAGTGTTGGGTCATGGAAGGAAAAAAAATAAATTGATGAATGAATGGAAACAAAATCATGAATTTTTTCAGAAAAAGAAATATTTTTCCAGATTTGGTAGTAACACCTGTCAAAAATTGAAGATATTGAACTGTATTAAGAGAATTTGTTAAAATAAGCCAAGGTGGGGTTCGAAAATTACATTTAGCAATGTTTATACAATTTTATTTTATTATTCATACTAAATAAAACCTTGAAAAATATCTAATCGTAGAACATAATACGAGTTTTTGAACTATATTTTTCCAATTTTACTGTTTTTTTTCCCTTTCAAATTTCCACTATTTGAAGTTTTTCGGAAAGTTACCCAATACAACTTTCAAGTGACATTATTTAAAATCATCGTGGTAAAGTTAAAAGAAATAAAACAATAATTTGAAGATTGGTTTATTCAATCTTATTTGTTCCTCGCTGCCCTCAATATGTTACATCCTAAATTAAATTTTCGTCAACTTAAGAGTATTTTATTTAGTATAAAAATTACATTTCCAGCTTAGTAAAATGGCCAGCCATACAACAACATTAAATACAAATGCTAGTTTATTTTACAATCTTTTGTAATCTTGAGATCACTATTCAATTGAATCTGAAAGATACAGAGTGTCCTGTAAGTAACTTATAATATTTTAAAAGCGGCGACAGCATATGGCAAAAGAAACGATTTTTCTAAGTAACATTATTGGAAACTTTCAAAAAGATAATATTTTCACATCAATCAGTTCAAAATGTCGGTCCCACACTTACCCAAAACAAGTAGTGCCTTTGCAAGTAAACACCTCGCCTTACCAACTGTTTAAAACAGCATTCCAAAAAAAAAACATTCAAATTGTTTGTTTTCATGACGCAATCACAACTTGTATAAATAGATTACATAAGGCACTGATACATGTATTATTATTTAGGCCACTAATGAATACGAAACCATATACATAACATAACTAATTGTAACTTATTAATCAACCAAATTGACAGCCCTAAAGATATGTAAACTATATACAGCGTTTCACCCTGGATAAAAATTCTTGAACAAACCTATCGGTCATATGGATTTTAAGACTGGTTAATAATTACATAAAGGTAGTAAATATGTTTGAGAATTTTGTTTCACGATATTGATATTAAATTGCTTTGCTTACAGTGGCTGAATGAAACGGCGCCTGATAAGACCCATTTCCTTCTGTCTAATCCTAAAAAAACGAAGTCAAGAGCGAACTCTTATTTTTTAAATCGGGAGATTTTTCTTATCTATACATCTACTGGCTCAAATTTGAACGGGGAGTTCAATATAGTGACGCAAGAATTTTGAGTTATATAAATTTTAATAAACATTTGGTCCTATTTAAATCCTTGTCGGAACTGAACTTTGAGAAAGATTTCTAAGTTTTTTCTATTTTAAATCACATAAAAAATAAACTTAGTTATACACACACACACATATATATATATATATATTTGGCTCCAATCTTTGAGCTTCACGCTTACAATGTACGCCTCATCAGAGTTTAATTTCATATGATTGAAAATAATTGTTCTTTCTTTAGAAAACGTACAAGAAATTATTACTTATTCAGCAGTTATTGCCGTTTTATATCACGGCGCACAGTTTAGAGACCTCCGTATTGAGTTACTGATGACGTTATGTATGATATATTATAAAGTTTGGATTTTAATTATTTTCAAACATAAGAAATTCAATTTTTTTATGACTAAACATAGTTTAACATATAAAATAGACTTATTTTACAAAAAAAGATTACTTTGTAATCACCATCTAATTTTTTTCAAGGTACTATTCAAAGACGCCATTTTTCAAACAGAAGTTGATAAGCCAAATTTGCACAATAAAATAATTTTCCCGAAATAATAATAAATACAGCATGTTATTCGTAAGCAGATTGTATTCGTACCAAAATACTACTTGTACTTTAGCGCCTGTGGGTATAGCGGGGAGGGACGAGGGACATGCCGCGCAGGATAATGTAACAACGTCTCAGGGTGACTGGCAGTGCCCCCAAGATCTTTACGATTTAAAGTTCCGAGTGCCACTCGCGTGTGGCGTGTCGCTTACCATCAGTCGTTTGGTATTATAAAAAAATGCAAATTTCAATGGTTAATACAAAGATTACTAACACTTAGAAAGATTTCTTCGATCCAGCCGGATTTGAACCGATGTCTCCTAGCAAACCGTGCTACGTCGACGTTATGCAAACTAAGCCACGGAACGAACCAGCGGACCTCACGAATTTTTCTATGTGCTTGTCGGTTTTCAATGACTTTTTAGCCATATCGCCATTCATGAGAAATCTATTAAAGTATTTCGTCACCCAGTTAGGTATTTTTACAGCTACCAGCACTGGCTAGAGATGTCGTTATTCTGTAATTACATTTTTTATTGAATGTCACAATGTTTAACTACTAATATTTAATTATTTTTTTGTGAAATTACTCCACTAGTTTGTTATAATTATTAATAACAAAGATCGAACACTTAGAAAAAATTGAATATCATGGTGGTTAAACATTCTGACATTCAATAAAAGAATTAGCGCATTTGTTTATGAATGAAACAGGGGCGATCGCGGATGGTGCGGGGTACTTACTGCGTTACATAAATGTGTGGTGGTAAACGTGTGATGTTTTCACCAAATATTAAAAAGTCCTCTGTATAACTAAGGATTACGAAATAGTAACAAAAACTTCATATTTTATTCATAGTCGTTCAAAATAATGTGTGTAGGCTTTATTTTACGTCTTATAATGGTAGGAAAAAAACAGTGAACGTTGGTTGAATAATACCATTTTCTTTTTATATCAAATCGCATCTAAACGTGAGAAATAGACAAAGAAACGAGCTACAGATGTCGATGTAACAGGTAAATTGTATTAAAAGTAAAAAATATTTTAAGTTTTCAAGCATTAAATCACACAAAGTATGCGTGTATAATATACACTTTGAGAAAATAACTTGCAAATAGAAACTGTCACTTTAATCACAATTTAGATGACTACATAATACCTATGTTTTTGCAATTAGAATTTTAAGAAACCGGTGAATTTTGACACATACCTTCAAAAAATTAAGAAACAAAAAAATACTACGCTAACTTTGTTTTTTGACCAGGGGAGTTACCATGAACTCTTATTACGATTCAGTTAAGGATCTAAAATGAATCATTGTGAGATAGCGCTACATGACGCGTATATCACCATCCCGCTTTTTTGTCGTTAAGAACCTATACTGAACTGTAATAAGAGATCATGGTAAGGCCTTTGTTCTGTTTTTATTTTGTTTTTTGTTTCTTTATTTTTTTTTCACAAAATTTTATTTTTTGCTTTTTTTCGAATTTTATTTTTTGTTTCTTTATATTTTTTTCACAAAATTCAGGGAGTATAATATTAGTTAATAAATACGGCTTTTTCCAAAAATAACAATAGAAAATGACCTTAAAATAAAGTTGACGTAGTGTTCATATGTGGTATCGATGTTGTCCCTATATCATTCGGAACAATTTTCCGACATTTATTCCATAATACATAGTATTTCTAATATAGGATAATATTTGAAGAGGCAAATAAAACCGAAAATACACGGTCGAATTACGCTCGCGTCGCTTAGTTACGTGACAAGTCGCTTCCATTCCGTTCCGCCGCAATATAAATTGACCTAAAATGAATAAAAAAAAACACGCTAAGAAGCACACAACAATCTTAGCTTAACACATACGAGCGTAAATCAGTTGCGTATTTTCAGCTACATTTGTCGTAATCCTAATAACAAACAAATCCTAATGGTTGTTTATTCATCATTCGTCGTTTTAGGGCCTTTTTCTTATCAAGCGCAAATGACTTCGCTTGCGTTATCATATAAATTATGTTTTACGTTAGACGTAATCCCTGCCGAGAAGCGCACAGTACAAACACAAAACTGTCGCTTCTTTAGTCCAAAGACAAAACAGAGGCAATTACGTTGTTAATATAATTTCTTATTATTATTGATACGAAGATCGAACACTAGCAAGTTTCGTACTCGATCTCGTATCTCTTAACTAACTGAGTTACAAAGCCGGGGTTTCCAGATCTTACAAATTTTCTGTGCTCGTCGAGCCGATCCATATGTTAGGTTTAAACGGCTTTTTTCCATCAACGCCATCTGTCAGAAACTTATGAAGTTTCTTCATGCAGCTACCAGAAGCTGACGAGAGAAGTCGCTGTGTAATTGCTATATTTCTTTATGAATATCATGATCTTTTACTACCAAGATATTGTTTTTTTTTTGTTAAAACACTCCAATGCATGTATGAATAATAATAACAAACGAATGGAGTATTTTCAATAAATAAATGTTGTAAATATTTTTGCTCAGATTTGAACCAAGCCTAACTATAAATTCGCTTAGACGAAGTTTGAATAAAGAATTTTGACAATTTGCATATATTTAAGTCTGACACACTATACCTATTATACCTACGCATGCAGAGAATATTTTGCGTAGCAGAAAAACCGTTCTCAGAAGAGCTACAGTACAAGGTACCTCAAAGACGTGCGCTGTCTAATGTCGATTTTAACCGGTCGTGGCTTAGTTTGTTGAACTAACCAATCTGTCGTGAGACAAGCTAGGAACGCTGACGCAGCGAGCGCCCTAAGGCAGGATTTAAGAGGAGCTAATTCTCGCGCCAAAGAAATGTATATCAAGTAAATATGACCCAGAAACACCTATATCCGCGTACTGACAAATTTTAACTCTCACCATTTTAACATAATAATAAGTGTTTAATTGTACTTAATAAAAAATGTCTTTACACTATATCACAACTCGAATATTTAGGAGTTTGTGTCACTCACTGGTTTTTTTATCAACTAATTTCCACTACATAGTTTGTAATTTCCCGATTTTGCCACTTTTTAGAGAATGTCAATTTTGATACTGTAATTTTCAACACATTTTTGTTTTGTTTTGCTGCGACAACATTGATGACACATCGCTTCTTCCTCTTTAACAGTGGCGTATCGATATGCAACTTGTAATAATATTTTTATAGACAATGTGCATTTGAGATTATCGCATACAATTAACAAACGCATGTTTCCGTATCTATCTTTCCATTGGCATGTCCATGTTATGTTAGCTGGGTTTTCTGTAAGTGCGACACAGAAAAAATCCTTTAAACTTTGTTTTTTTTTTCATTCATTCACTCACTCAAGAACCTTGATGCGTGGCGTACCCTTACTATTCATGTATTTATTAAAGTAAGTTTTAATTTTGGACAGTTTTTCAGTTTATTGGAGTAATGGCGTGTCCATATTAAACTTGTAAATATTGTTGCAGATACTTTGCAACGCGTTTGCGTTGCGATATGGCTCGCAAATTCGCAGCCTGCGCTCGCGCTTTTCCGTGTACATATCGACAACGCCCCATTGACGGAGTATCCTTTGGCAGTTGCGGATGGCGTCCATTGAAGCTGCTTCACCTGTAATAGATTAATACGATGAACATCTATTTTATTAACGCTCGGAAAAGTGGAATGAAAGTATATTTCTAAAAAAAAAGTTTTGTATCGAGCATTTGTATTTTTCTATTTAATATAACATGTTATTGTTGTGTTTTGTTCTACGTATTGCATCTATTTATAATGATAATCATCAACCAATTATAAGTCCCACATCTGGGCACTTCGTTGTACTTTCTTCAACATGCAGGTTTTATCACATTAAATCTACAGGCGAAGAGAGTATTGCTACTAAACGTTTACAAATTTACCGTAACATAGAAGTTAACCTTGTAAGACCCAGAAAACTACAATGGTGAAAGCCATAAACTCCCAATTACATGAAAATGAACTAAATATAAATTACATGCTTCAGGACCAAGCAAGTATGGCTAATTATTTTTCTTGTCATTTTTTATGTTAAGTTAATATAAAAAAATACGTGTTTTCAATTATTATTTGTGGCGGTGGGCGTTGAAATTATTTTATCTTGCCCAAGTGGGCGGTGAGCCAAAAGCTAGGGAATCTAAGATTTAAATAGTGCTACTGCTTATTTTTCTTATCGTGTCAATACTTTTACATTTTAGAATATAATATATTGACTTATATCTATGGTTGCTACCTTCAAAAAACGAATTGGGCTACTAACCGTAAGGCATCCTGTTCTGAGTATAATCCTCAATAAGAGAATCAAGAGTTTTCCTTAGGACTTCCTTCTGCGAGCCGTCGACGAGGCAGCGGCACGTAGCCGCGTACGCTTCCAGCAAGGGCCGGATTGTCAAGACGAGGCGGCGTCTGAATTGTAAACGTAGAAGTTTCATGACATCACTGCTTATGCTGGGTGGATATCAAATACTTCGAAGCCTCGTACCACGACAGTCTTCAGTATTGAAATTAACAATTTGAGCTTAAAGTAAGGTTGTTTCACGACTTTTGGAAATACACACATTTTTTAAACTTTCTGTACTATAATTTGATGAACAATCGAGTTTTAGAGCGAGACGGTAGAAACCTGTATACTGGGAATCAGGAAGAATTATTTACACGCCTAAAAACTTCAAAGATACGATGTTAATATACTAACCGCTCAGCGACAGCCTCAGGTTTAGACGATATCCGATATTTTATGTGGCGAGTGGGGTCGGGCATCTCGAACTCTTCGTCATCGTCATCAAACGTCTTCGCAAACCGGCGCGACCACTGCTGCTCTTCTATGCCACTGTTTTTCTGGAATTAGTAAATAAAACTTTTTAACAAAAAAGTTGCAATATAGTTAACTGCTTCAGTGGCTGAACGGTTACCATGCCGGACTGCCACGCAGAGGTCCCAGGTTCGATTCCCGGGCCGGGAGAAATATTTGTATGGACTACATTTATTTCTCTCGAGAGTTTGAGTGTGATTTGTTGTTATCTATGTGTGTGTCCATGGCACCCGCGACTCAGGGTTTCCCTAGTGCGGGGCTATGTTCAGTGTGTGCGTTATTATAATATTATAACAAATATTATACATTAAGCCACATCGATGGCCTTCTCGAATCGCAGCCTATCTATTAGAGACCAAATTCGTTAGGAAGATTGTTTAATAAAAGTGAGGCGTAAAAAGCCGACGAATTATACTCCCGCTTAATGTTGTAACGTGATTATTTTATTCAATGAAAAGCTTATAGGTAGTATCATTCGGAATACAGCGGTTATTTTGCTTTGGGTCACTGCTATTGAAAAGCAGTAACTACATTTTGTAACCCCTCTTCCTGTACATTTTTGGAAAATTCAAGTTTAAAATCAATATTCAGGGTCGTATTCTAGAACTCTACTCAATGCACAAGTCAGGACATGAGTATGATTCAAAGCACTAGAAATCACACTCAAGTCCTTGCCATTAGGGTCGTATTTCCAGTGCTTGAAATCATACTCAAGTCTGCTCAAGTCCTGACTTGAGTATTGAGTAGAGTTCTGGAATACGACCCTAATGGCAAGGACGTGAGTATGATTTTCAGTGCTCACTGCAATACTCAAACCCTGACTTCAGTATGCTTGTGTTTCCAGTGA